TTAAAAACAACTCCTTTTGTTGGTGATGTAATTTTAAAAACTGAATTCAAGTAAACATCTGATTCTGAGAAACAACACACGCAGCTCAATAAAAAGTGACACAAATGGGTCAGCAAGTTAACTTTGACCAATATGCAACTAAACGTGTTAATTTTTAATCAGTTTTAACTACACTGGTGGTAAATGTTTATGGAATAAACAGTCTAGCCAGTAAAAATACCAAAGTGCTTTTAGGAGAAATTCAAAAAAAAAAGTTCAAGACAAAAACAGACATTTAGGAGAAATGCATATATTTTTGGTCTCCTTGGTAAAATGTTTTAAGGTTTATAGCTACAAATAGTACTGCTTCACTCTATTGGATTTTTAACTATGCAAAAAAAAAAAATGTTATTTGACTTTACATTGTATATTATAGGCCCAGTTCATTTATTTATAAATAATGCAGCCATGTCGTTGGAGGGGATGTCCTGAAACAAGCTAAGATGACACTTCTCAAAAACTACAAGAAACCAAACTTTTACCCTAAAGATGATAACATGTGGCATGGAGGCTGCACAGCTGCAGAAAGAAAATATCTTCAGAGAGTGGTGAAGGCTGCACAGAAGTCTGTTGGAGTCAGTCTCCCCACCATCACAGATATCTACACCACCAGATGCAGGAAGAGGGCCACCTGCATCATGAAGACCACATTCACCCAGCACACACACGTTTTACCCCACTCAGGCAAGAGGTTGCAGAGCATTAAGTGTAGAACCACTAGACTGAGGAACAGCTTCTACCCTGAAGCCGTTACTCATAAATCCCTAATCAGAATAACCACTGTAATGCCACTTTGATTGGCGATATATCACTTTAGCTATGCTGCTGATTATATATGCTGCTGATTATATATGCTGCTGATTACATATGCTGCTGATCTCTTGCCTTTAAGCTGCTGTATCCATACCCATCTGCTCACAACAGACTCAAGTTCAGGCTGCCGTTTAATATACTGTATTATGTTACATTATTGTTGTTTAGCACAAATCTTAGATCCTTGTATACCGTTTCTTATACTTTATATTTTTGCAATTTTGGGGTGTAACTGGGACCTTGAGTACATCATTTCGTTCCACATCAAGTATGACATGTGATGCGAATGACAATAAAGAAACTTGAACCTTGAATAAGAAATTAACTAAATGGGGAGGGAGGGTGGAATGGTAGAAATTACATGTAAAAAAAACTTTAAAATCCTAGGGGAATTTACCCAATACAGATGAACGTGCAAATAAATTATTTTGACCAGCTACTCCAGATTTAGACTTAAAAAGTACACAATCTAAACGAAAGAAGAGACCGTTAGAGAAACCAACAAGAGGCCGCTTTAAGAAAAAAAAAAAATGGACAAGAAAGTTAGCACAATAATAATTGAGGAAAAGAAAGAAAAACAACAGAAAGCTTGACAGCTGGAGTGAAAAAGCTGCCCAAATGGCCTGCTATCCTGTCCTAAAGGATTGAGCAAATTGTTTTTGGAGTTGAAGCACAGAAAGATGCATGCAAAGGCCACAAAGCAAGAATGTAAACATACACAATGGTGTGTAGATGTGCACACAAACTTTCCTCAGACAAATTTTTAAAAAAGAGCCTAAGTTCCTGGTTCCAGGAAGAAAATCAGAGGTAAACAGAATAGAAATACAGACCAAAGCACGTCTTATTTAATTTGCACGGAGTTCTGTAAAATGTAAAAAAATTAATAAACGCGTTTGGGGAAAAACTGGTATCGGTTTAAAATGTATCTCAAGTTAAATGGTGCTCGTTATTGTCTGATAACTGGATAAATTTGATATTTTATAAATAAATATTTTATAAAATATATATAATGTGGTATGACAAATAAATAATTTATAAATGACTAACTCCAAAATTTAGGAGGCTATAAAATTTGCTCAAAAGAAAAAAAAAAAAATAATTCTTCCAAATGCTGCGTTTTCATAATCAAATAAACTTAATTATTCATGCCCCCTAGATTATTTGCTTGATATAAAATGACAATTGAAAATTTGAGCAAAGCCCATCAATGAAGTCAAATTGTTTTGAAAACCATTAAAAACAGCACAACTTGAAAAAAAGGCATGAGTTACCAACTCACCCAACTCCTCATTTTAAACCTAAAATGTTCTGGTTTACAGAAAGTTATGAATGAACAGGCAGCTGCTGTGCATATCTATCCATCCATCCATTATCTTTACCCGCTTCTTCCTTTTTGAGTCGCAGGGGTCACTAGTGCCCATATCCAGCTATCACTGTGCGAGAGGCGGGGGACACCCTGGACAGGTCTCCAGTCCATCACGGGACACATAGAGACAAACGAGACAAACAACCATTCACTCTCTCACTCACACCTAGAGACAATGTAGAGTTACCAATCAGCCTAACATGCATGTTTCTGGTCTAAAACCGGAGTACCCGGTGAAAACCCATGCATACACGGAGAGAACATGCTAACTCCACCCAGAAAGGCCCCCGGCCGGGATTTGAACCCAGGTGACCTGCTCGTTGAGAGGCGGCGACTCTACAAACTGCTCCACCGTGCTGCTGCTGTGCACAATTCAAGTTATATTTGACCACATCATGCCACAGATATTTATGTAACACCTCAGGAAGGAAGCCGTCTACTGCTTAAAAAGAAGTTGTCAAAACCCTTTTAGTTGCATCCATTTATATGAATTTTGGAAAGCAACATAGTTAGCTCAACAATGCATGCTAGGATTATATCCTCTGTTAGCCAAGCTGTTGAAAGTGTCAGATTGTGTATTTTTGTCAGAACAAAACCTGCCCCGATACAATCAAACCAGCTGGCAACACACACACACACACTTTCAGAGAGCCGGCAGTGAAGGTTGAGACAGCGGTAACAACTCCAACAGTATGCCCAACTTGTAGTTCTGCGGCTAACTAAGGACCTGCTAACTAAGGACCTTTCTCCTAATCACCAACTTCCTTGCTTTCCCCTTCACCACACCAACACACACTCCATCAGAATTCCAAAATATAGCATTGTGGGGGACATGCACAGTAGTGACATTAAACTAAAAAAAAAATACACCAGTGGGTTTCTTTACCATCCAAATGCTAACAGAAAACCACAAGATGATTCTTCCAGTATTTTCCCAGCGTGCTGCATGCCAACTGGAGTCTGATGATGAAAATGGATAGCACAGAAAGACTCCTTCCACAAACTATGTTGTAGCTCAGGGGTGACATTTTAGAAGAATAAGAAACTGATTTATTCTCTTCATTCATAGTTGAGAATGTTCAAATTGATCCAATAAAATAAAACCTAGGTGGTTTTTCTATCAAAGACCTTGAAAAATATGAGGAAAAACTGCAAAAATTGTATTTAGACGACATCAGGCATGGATTCCAAAAATATCAAATTTTGTCAAACTTACATTCCATCAAAATCTAAAAATAATAATATTAATAAAATGAAATATTAAAATGTTAAATCCAGCTGCCAGTGACTAAAATATTGAGTATGTCCAACAGAGGAATGTTAAAAAATTGACTAGTAACCTAAAGTTCTAGCAATAGAACAATAAGTGACCAGAAACCATGCTTTGGTTTGAGTCAGCATCAACTGTAAAGTCCTACAAATAAGTCAGACTTGTGGCCAAAGTACCGGTAGTTAAATAAAAATGTAGGGGGAAAAGCTTTACCTTACAACCATGTAAGAATTGTCAGTGGCAGATTAGACTTGACAGTAACCATGCAAAAAAGAAACTAATGTAAAACCATTTAGGTACCATTTACAATACTGTAAAAATATTACTATAAGTCACAAACAGCACACACAACTGATCAGATTCAACTTTGTCAATCAAAATCTGACAAAAATCAGAATCCCTTTACAGTCATTATATGCAAATACAATGAAATTAAGAGCCACTCCTTTTTTCAGTGCAAAAACATGCTTAAGAAACACACACAATAAAAATATAAAAAAATGAGCATGCAAGCAAAATGCAAGCAGAGCAAAGTGATATGAAAAATAAATATGCATGCGAGCCCTGGACAAGAACAACAATAATATACCACACATTTAATTTGATTAAAAAAAAACTGAGATAATGCTAGCTTCCCAACACTCCGCTGTACCTTAACTTAAACCAAATGAAAATGTATGACCTGATAAAACTCTGAATATGATACGAGTTTGGGAAATCTGGTTCTTTCTGATAAAATCCTTATCATCTGACAGTAATTTTTTTTAAGTAAACCTGAAAATGTGAGACTTGTAACAACCTTAATCAGCAGACCAGGTGCATTTATTGGTTCCAGGCACTCGTTTTAAGCTCAGAGGTGACAGGGCTTTCTCTGTTGCAGGTCCAAAACTGTACCATAAGTTACCACTGCATGTCAGGCACTGTTTTTAAGTCACGTTTAAAAAACACACACTTTTATTCCCTGGCTTTTGACACTGTGCGAGTTGATTTTAACTTGTCTGTATTCTATAATGTTAGTCATTTAGTTCTTATCTTTACCTATTTAGATGTGTATTTTTTGCCATGTCCTTTCTGCTGTACAACCTTGTTGCTGTTTTAAGTGCTTTTAAGTGGTATGGTAATCTACAAATAAATTGAAAGAAAACACCAAGAGTGAATTAGGTGTGGTACCACTGTTTGACAAAGGCCATTAAAAAATTATTTAAGTTTTCTTAAGACTTCTTAGATTTGTAGATAGGGGCTTAAAAACGTAACGTCTCGTGAAAACAATATAACTGTTTTGACCACAGCTAATGAACTGCTAACAAGACTCATAACTGCCTTTCAGTAATAATCATTTAAATTCAAAGCAGCTATAAAACAGCTGAAATTGTTTAATGCGTGTTGAATACTTGTATATCCAATAATATGCGACTTTTTTTCACAAGGGAACGGATTACTGAAATCAGTTAGCATGCAGGCTAAGTCAGCTAGCATAACTACAGCGAAAAGATGGGGTTTAAATGTACTTACCTGTCAACCGCAGTTTTACTGGGCCATTTCTCCGAACTCCTTGGTTCGACATTCCCTTTTAGATTCCACCTTGATGAAAATTGACAAAAACTATCTAATTCATGTGTCGACGTATGAGTTTCTTAAACGGGTATCTCCCAAAACAATCCCTGGGCTTAGCTACGGGTTAGCTCGTGGTATCAGCAAATCACGCTGACTGCGCACGCAGCATACAGATATAATCGCATCGCTGGAAATATAATCTCCATATGAGCCCATTTTAATCAAAATATATATTGAAAATGTATGTAGTTACATTCTCAAGTGCTGATTGTGCCATGAGAAACGGACACAAATTAAGAACATGCATTACCCTCCAAGACGAGCGTCTATTCTACCTATGCTGAACTGAAGTTGGTGGCGACTATTGAGGCAGAGCCACTCAGAAGCACATCCGGTACAGTAGTTTCAAAATAAAACGCAGTGTAATGTGCAATCCCCAAACTGACATTTATCCCATTTGTATTAGTAAAACTTTTTTTTTCATGACTAATGTATGGTTTTTGTTGCGACCTATTCAATTTTGTGACTATGTTAAAAAAAAGAAGCAATATTGGTAACTATTTTATAAATGAGAAACATTTTGACAGAAAAATAAAAATAATCTGATACACAATGTTACATTATAATTAACTTACTGGGTACTTCCTTCAAACCCATTTGACCGCATAAAATAATGTGATTATTACGTTGAGAATTGATTTCTATTCATAAAAATGATTTCCAAATATATTTTAAAGCCCACATGCGGGCAAAAAAAAAGATCATACTACCATCTAGTGGTGAAGTGGAACAAATCATTTTCTGGCGCTGTTACTCAACTTTAATAAAACAAATTTTTTTAAAGACTTCTTACTTTCTTTTTTTCTTCACCAAAGAATGACCTCCGTTTTTTTAAACATCTCTGTGTTAGGTTAAATAAATAAATAAACAACAAATCAGAATATTACTGAAAAAAACATTTATTTACACATTTTTCTATAAAACGTTTTCTTTGTACTTTTATGTACAAGGTAGAAAAATCCAATAAAAAAATCGCAAAGTAGGGTTTTTATTTCTTGTCAAATAGAAACGTAAACAACTTAAAAGTGGAAAGTGCTTTGGTCTTCAGGGATATGGAAGGCATAACTGTCTGCACTAGCTTCAGGAAGAACAAACTCATCATCTTCATCCTGGAAGACAAAGAAAAAGACGCAAAACGCTCAGGACTGTGCAAGTCATAACCTGTTTTGTAGCTGGTTTTATGGATTTGAGATAAGATACATTCTTCAGACAAAGACTACTTTTATCAACTGAGAAGACTTTCAGTTTTGACTTGGGTTCACTTCATAGAATTACAGAGTATGCAGTTTAAGTGTATCAAATGAAATGTTTGAGAAATGTAAACTTTGAGATTACCTACATAAGACACTTAACTACAAAACCGAGGAGCTGTAAAACAAATTATTTGTTAAAAAAAATAATAATAATCTGTAAAATAAAAAAATAAAAACTTTTCCCTGACATTTTGAGTTGCTTTTCTTAATACACCAAGCACACATTCCTTAACTTTGTGTGAGATGTTGTGTAAAGTAAATTTACATATTTTGTAAATGAAAAGTACAAAGATTATCTTTAACTGAAAAAGCCAAAAAAAAACCAACAACAACAAAAAACCTACAATAAATCCACACTAAGAATTTGAATTTAAAGTCTCATACTTTTAAAAATGTGTAAAAATGTTTTAAACCAGTCATTTTTGGTTAGTATATCGTTAATTATTTTTTTCAACCATAATTTTAAAATGTCCAACCCACCAGAGAAACATAAATGAGCTACTGTATAGATATTATAAAATAAATGTACCTTTTCAGAAAAGAATCTGTCGATAATGTTGAGAGAGGACTTGTAGACCGCTTCATTTTCATGGGACTGTAGTGCTTCAATCTTGTCCAAACCATTCAACTCCTCAATCATTAGGCACAGTTTCTCAACCTCACCAGTTTTTTGTGACATCTGTGGGAAAAAAAAAAAAAAAGAAAAACATGTACGGACAGTAGTCTCAATAACTGCTAAACAGCTGTGACAGTGGTTGCAGAGGATAGAATAAGAGCATGAAGAACATTACATTATTTCAAGCGAGTGAACTTACTTTGTTCTTTTGCACACAAACTAAATGTTGCAATTCAAAAACATCCCATAAACAACAAAACAATGGGGGGAAAAAACAGCAAGGAGAATCTTCTCTTAAGCTAAAATACAAATCACCCTGAAATAAATGACAGTCAGAAGCAACTGGCTTCTTACCTGTAAAATATTGCAAATTGCATCCAGGATGACCAGTATCATCTTGCTGTCTTTGACTGTCAGTAGATTGAGCAGAGGCTCCAGCACTTTGCAGTGGACGAGGTAAGCCATTTGTTCCACTGATCCACCACTGGTATAATTGGTGACGGCCCACACTGCTTCCTTCTGGGTCTTGTAATCTCCCTAAATAAATAAACAAAAACCATCAGCGATTTTGGGCAAAAAAAAACAAAACTATAGGGCTCTCAGAGCTTTAAAAGAAGACCAAACAAATCCAAACATTTTTTTTTAGAAGCATCCTGACGAATAAGCACAAAAGGCCTTAATATGCTCTAATTACCCAGTTTACAATAATTAATTTTAATAATCACTTCAGGGATTACATAATACATAAAATAGTACAGTTCTGTGTTTCTTTAGATTGACCTGTTGAAGGAGCTCCACCAGGATGGGTATCAGGCCTGCATCAATTACTTCCTGAATCTGGCTGTCTTTGCCAGCTGTAATATTGGACACCGTCCAGGCAGCTTCTTTCTGGATGTTGGACTTGTGGTGGCGCAGCAGAGCAGGGAGCATTGCCAGGCCACCTGCACTGAGCACACACTGGGTCTGCTCATCTGTTCCAGTCACTATGTTGCCAACTGACCTCAGAACAGGAGTCTAGGAGAAGGAGAGTAAGTTGCTTATATGAGCATTTGAAACTCTGTGCAAAATAAAAATGACATTTGCAAGCACGATATCAGGGGCTCCTTTAAATGTCAGAAACAATTTTTGGTATGCAAGTAAAAATATACCGAATTAACAGAAAAGCTGAACTTTAATCCTTTAAAAATAAAAAATGAAAAATGAGCAGTGTTTTAAATGACAGGAATGTCAAAGTTCACCTAAATCTTTGTTTCCCAGTCTCTGAAAATCAATTTAAAATATATAAACTTCTGCATTCCATATGGGACATACATTTATACCATGAACTCAATGTCACATACCACAATGGAAAGCTCCCCACAGGCCAGGAGATGAACAAGTTGAGGAACCAGGCCAGATTGCACCACCAACTCTATCCTCTCATTGGAGCCGTCAGTCAAATAAGACAGGGCCCAGCAGGTATCGGCCAGAACCTCCTTGTCACCGTGATGCAGGAGGTGCGCCAAGGCAGGAAGCAGCTGCTCCACTGCCACCAAGGGAGGGGGAGGATTCTTATGTCGACACAGGTTGGACAGTGTCCAGGTCACATTGCGCACAAAGTTAGGCTGATAAAGAGGATATGATATTTTAGCCCAAAGCTATAGCTTTAGTGCAATAAAAAAAATAACAGTATTATAAATAATGCACACAATATTTGAGAGACACTTACAGGAAGTAGAGGCAGAGAGGGGGATTTCACCAAAGTTAAAAGAGGCAGAAGGCCACCGTGTTTGATTACCAAGTCTCTAAAGTTGGGTCCATCACCTATAAATTAATTACAGTACAATACAATAATTATTTTGATCAGAATGCAATAACAGATTAAATAAAAATGCACTGAAAATATATTACACTTATAGCTTTATGTTACTTGATCACCATGAACCCAAATGTATTTGGATTTGATTTCAGAGGTTGTAAAAACACTGAAAAGCCATTCAACATAGGGTAACAACTATACAACAGCTGTTAATATCTTATTGCTGAACCTTTCACAAGTGCAAAACTAAACTAAAACAAAGTGCTTAGCTTCCTTTTTAGCCAAAATAAATGATCTCTGAACAATGGACCAGTGTATGTCAACTAGACCCGTCGCAATAAACAATAAATCAATTAATCACATGATAAATGAAAATTATCAATCTCATTTTCATTTATCGGCTTTATCGTTTCTTCGTGTCTCTCACTTTCTACTGAAGACACTGGATGGCAAAAGGCTCAACTCCGGTGCTCTTCACTGACCCCTCCCTTTCTCTTTAAAATCCATTTTAACCGTCCAAAATTGCGTTCTTGGATCGTTAAAAGCCGCTAAGCTGAGAAGCTAAGCTACGAGCTAAGCTAACAAAATTAATTTGAAACCTGTGCCTTCGTTTAAAAAGTTGTTTTTCTCTGTAAAAAGAAGCAGAGAACTTGTTTACCGATTTTTTTAATTAAAAACTTTGTGTGAAAAATGTTATGCTAAAGAGCTCAAACCACACCGAGCGTTCGCCATTTTGAGAACAGGAAAAAAGGAAGGACAGCCCATGTCACGTCAAGGAGCCTCCCTCCCATTTTTCTTAAAGAGACACACTGCTCGCTCCCTCACTATCCGTCCTTCAGTTCAAACAGTCTTATACTGCCATCCGGTGGTCAAAAAAGGTACTACACTCAAATTAATCTTGTAAAAAGTTCAGATAATGTAAGACTGAGGCAATGTGAGAACAAAGCAGGTCATTTTTTGAAGCATCTTAGGGAGCAAGAGCCCATGATGATAGTGTTTGCTGTTTTGTGCCATTTTCTGCAAGCTAACATAATGCTTCCCACCAAGGCATACACAATGCATACAATATGTCAAAAGTATTACGTCTCTATGTTGGTACACAAGTCCACAATCACACTTACCGTATAATATATATAATTCCTTATATAGAGAACTTTACTCATGTGAATGTTCCTGTAAAGTGCCCTGAGACAACTTTGTTGCGATTTGGTGCTATATAAACTGAACTGAATTATATTTAGACTCAATAATTAAGTGTTTCCAACAACTAAAAGATGTTTTGCATCAATATTTTCTCGTTTTAAATGGATGTGTGAAAGAGCAACTCCTGACAATGTCTAAACAGAACAAAAAAAAAATCAGACATTGTTCTGCATTAAGACATGGAAATATCAGGGTTTATCACACATTACCTGCAATGTTACCCAGGGCCCAAATGGCCTGCTCGTTGATGTGCAGGTGAGGTGATTCCACCAGTCTGATGAAGGCTGGAACGCCTCCTCCCTCTACAACAGCATTCGTCTGCTCTGAGGTGCCAGAAGCGATGTTAGTGAGGGCCCAAGCTGCCTCAAACTGGATGGGAGGGAATTCAAACACCGCCAAAAAACTAACAAGCTGTGGGATGAGGCCAGCAGCAATTATGCTGTCAATCGGTGGCTGCTTTTCCCTCGAGAGCAGCTTTCTAGAAATCAGAAATTTAAAAAAATTGAAATGCAGAAACAGAAATTATTGCAAAGCTTTAAAATGAAGAGAAAAAAAAAACATTCAACACAAAATTCCTTGAAGCAACTGTGTCTTAAAAATGTGGGAATAATGGGAATTATCAACAGCTGTTTTTGTAAATAACTGGATACCACAAAATCTCGCAGCACACAGAGGAAAGGCTCACAATGTCCAACCTCTGGTCTGAAGTGAAGACGTCGAGTAAACATAAAGGTCAACTGTAATACCACACTGGATTCCTACACTATACAGGAAGAATCCTTCAGTTTAAAGATGACTGAAATTACATTACCTGGCTGCCTGTGTTGCCTTCAGTTGATTATCTAGATCTGGACTGTACACACCTTCTGTAATTTCCTCCAACGAGAAGTGAGGCTGCTGTTGAAATAGAAAAGCAAGCTTAAAAAACATCATTCAGTGAATGCCATAGAGAGACATTGCAACATATAACCCTCACAACAATGATGAAAGAGCCCAAGTTTAGGATATTTTTCCCACTTAATAATATTTATAATACAGGTGACCTTTGGCTGGTGCTTGTTAAAAAAAAAAAAAAAAAACTAAGTTTGTATGAAAGTAAAACATTTACGGTCACAAAAGTTCCTAAGTAGAAAAACATGTTGAAACGAGACTTGTGTGTTTTTATTTTATGGTGATTTATGATGGTAATTATTATTTTTTTATTTAAATGTCACTTAACCAGGAAAGACATGTTCAAGAGATCTCTTTTACCAGTGTGTCCTGGCCAAGACAGGCAGCAGCTCAGATTAGCACTAAAGTCCAAACACACACAATAAGACGATAAGAAATAAAAACTCAAAGTGGCCTCCTGTATTTTTGCAGAGCATGTAGATGTCTGGATGTGAAGGCAGAAGGCTGCAAATAGTTTGGTAAATGAGAAATGGCCACTGGTTTAATATGCGAAAGGATAAAGCACATCATCCAACACAACAATACAACATGCAGCGAGTTTTAAGCTTCATAATGAGCCTCCAAGCTCCATGAAGGACTGAACCTGCTTGAATTGTGAAGAGGCTGCATATCGATTACATCTCTGTAATTTAACCAAGACATAAAAGTAGCAGAAACAAGTGTTTTTGTGTAGCCTGAAAAGACAAACAAGACTTAACTCTCAAACAGAAGCAACATTTTAGCTTAAAGTTGGGAGAGATTTTTGGACCAGTTGTTGAATGTGAAACTTGAGTTATTCATAAACTAACTCGATTTCTGAGCTTTTAATTGTTGTACCATATGGGAAATACTTGCACTTAGATTTTGAGCTGGAGAACGCAACTTTAGTTTGTTTTGGTGTTGAATAGTGCAACAGAGTACATCACAGTATTGTAAGCATAAAAACAGAGATTTGTGTTTAATACTTATTAGTTAAGACGATCGATTAATAAAAAATTAACAAGCAATACGCCTATGTTCCCTGTTGCAGAGGGATTTGAATAGCAAATAATTGTAATATTAAAGATGAGAATTTTCTGGACTGGAATTGAATGGTTAACCTCAATGTTTTTGGTGCAAGATATTAAGTGTGTAGGAGTTACACTGTGTATAAGAACAGAGGTAGATTTGTTTTTCTCGTCCGAGGTGGTTTATCCACCACCAGGCACAATGACGGTCCCAGGGGGTGACCAGTGGTGGTCTTGGCTACACATTTGATAAACTAATTTTTTAAGCAGTATAAAAACTAGAAAGCATTCAGTTCAATTAAATATTTCAAATTATCCATCTCACAAAATTAACCCAACTTCGCACACAACAGAGGACAATAAAGGAGCCACAGGGAACAACTATGGCTACAAGAAATAAAAAAAAACTATGCATTCCACTTCAACACAGAGCTTTGTAGGAAAAAACGCTTTCAAACTGAGTCTAATAAAATAATAAAAGAAAAGTTTGTTTTAGTGTGATCCATTGTCAAAGCCTTTGATAAACCAATAAAAAAGGGGCTGCATGGAGTTAGTTAATTGTCCAGAGCCTCAATAAAGACATTTAATACTTTTAAAGTGGCTGCAGTTTTTTTTCTACAACCAAATTGAAGGTTATACCATGAGTATTTAGGTAATCCTGTAGCTGTTCATCACACATTCAAGGATTAGAGTTTAGTTTAATAGAGCTCTCATCGAGCCGAACCAGTACCGGTGCCATAGCATCTTTGTCTTGCAGAGGTGATGTGGGCTCGTCCAGGAAGTTTTCAACGGTTCTCCTCTTCAGAATCTGATCATCTTTCTTTGCTTTTCTCAGCTCGACGTTAAACTCCGCTCTCCGGCGCCTCAGCTCCTGAAAGATGGCCACACTCAAATAAAACACACTTGCGCGTTTAGCGTGCCGGCGGGTTAACTTGCAATGGCAGAACCTACTCCGGCATCCTTCCCTTTGTTTTTGAACTGGTGGAGTCGATCTCCGCTGTTGTTGTCAGCTGACATTCCTAAACACAACCGACTCCTCAAAGCCAATGTCGTGCTGAGAAGAAACGAGAGAAAAAATAAACGCTCGTACCAACGGTTTCCCTCATTCTTCTCTTACGGTTAATAACGTGTGTTAGCTTGCTAACTAGCTGAACCGATATCTTTATATCAAGAGTAATCTGACTCCATGCCAGAGCAGAGGAAGCACACGGAACTTGTCTACTAAACAGTAATGTATGCACTTGTTTTTAAAAACAAAGGAAAAAAAAAAAGAAAACACGTTTCAACAAGGTACTAGGCAACAGAACGTGTGCGACCAGCTTACCGAGTTCTTGAGAAGAAAAAAAAAATGACACTGAAAGTGACGTCATCAACTGCGACGGGTTGGGGTTTTTTTTCGGATCGCTGATTGGTCAGATTTACAACAGGCCTCGCCCTATTGTTCGAGATTAAAGAAAACGTACAACAACCGCAGATTTTTGAGTCCGCCCTCCATGCCATTGTAACAATAAATATATATATATACGTCACATATTATTGCTATCTCTGTCTAATATAACTATTCCATAGACAACCCCCAAAAACCTTTGCGCAGATGTGTTTATTTCTGATAAATATCAACGCTGATTGCTGTACGCCTGATGACCCAGTGGCCTAATGGATAAGGCATCAGCCTCCGGAGCTGGGGATTGTGGGTTCGAGTCCCATCTGGGTCGTTTATGATCCTTTTTTTAAGGACTCAAAAAGCAGTCCATGGTCACATTATGGTGTTCTGAAATAACGCCAAAATATAATTGGGATAGATTGGGATAAATAGAGCAGGCTACGTAACGTAGAGATCCACGTGAAGTTACAATTTTTAACTATACACGTTTTTCATCTTTTAGTTAGAAATATTCATGAATTATTTACTCATTCATGAACAATGAGCATAAAAACTGAACTCACGACTGCTATGATAAATAAAAATAGGGTTAAGCTTTAGTTTATGTAAGTCTGTCAAAGTCTTTTTAGGTAACAATAAAAAAGTGGCTATTGATAACACAAACGTATTATTGGACATTAAATTAATTTTTTAAAGAAATAAAGCGTCTAATTTATTCTGAAATCCTTCGCTAAACGTTGACTCGAACTTGATTATTGCAAAGTGGCGTCGTGTGGTGTCTGTCGTGGTCAGTTATCACCACTAGAGGGCAGTAAACACGCGCATTTCGGTTTCCGCGTAGCTAATGGCGTAAACTTTGTACCAATATTAAAAATGTTTTAAAAACAAGCTCAAAATTTTCGGCAAATAACTACCACGAGTTTCTATTTAACCGACCTACTTGCTCAGTTAACAGGCATTTCTCTCTCGCTGCTAGAACTGAAAAAAATGGATGAAAGGAGTCAAGGTTTTATTATTATTATTATTATTATTATTATTAAGTTTTTATCAACATTACAAACATTTGTCTGCCAGGGGTATATTAACATGTACAAAGGAAATAGTGTTCAAGTATAAAAGAAGAACAAGACAATCTATTTACAGATTATATAGATGAAAGAATCAAGTGAGTGTTTATTTCTGAGCTCGTGACGTCACAACACCGCCTCCCTTTTTCCTTCTCATCCCATCCTCTCCTTGAGCAGTCCTATAAAAATCCCAAGATTCCCAACTCTGCTGCAAACCGAGCAAACTGAGCATCCAGGATGATGGAAGGGATTACTCTGACACTTTTGTTTCTGGTGTTTCCTCTCCACAACACAGAGGAGCATGTTGTTAATGGTAGGTGGACATCTTTGTTTTGTTTTTCTATAGACAGATCTACAGCTGTGGTGTTTGTCAAATATATTTTTTTCACAGATGAAAACATATAATACCAGAAGTCTTAATATCATAAGTGTTTACGTTTGATGTGATACTTAAAAATCTTCTATTTAGTTGCCTATCTCTCCTAAAAAATTTAAAAGATTTAGATTTTCTAAACTGAAAAAAATCTTCAAATTATGCACAATTTAATGTATTTTTTTGTGTTTTTGTATGGAAAAAGGTACATCAAATTGCATATCATTTGATGCAACTTGTGGTTCAATATGGTCACTGTGGTAACCACACGCCTGTGTCTCTCACTCCCTGACTAGCAAGTCAGGCAGACGCAGACTGAAAAATAAGGCTCGAACAAAACAAACACTGTGCAAAAACGAACAGACGGATCTTAGAAATCCTTGTATCGTGAGCGGCAGAAGACTCGGTTTGTCACACATGCAGTATTTTATTTAGAAGTTATGACAAGATGAAAGGACGTTTCACTTCCAGTTGTGGAGCAATTATTATTATTATTATTTCTTTTTGTGCTAATGTATGACTGTATTCTGGGAAGGTTTGAGAGAAAACCACAAGTCCTAGCTGTGACAGACACACAACATAAAATAAATTAAAATGTCTACATTTTGATGTATAATTTTTAAATGCACCCCAAAATGTGTGGGAATAAGAAGAGTTCCTTTTTATAAGCTTTGGCTGTTTTAGACAGAAACAAGTTTATGTGTGACATCATGATTTTGGATGATGTGACGTTTGCCTGAGCTGTAGAGCTCCACAGAGAGTTGGGTTTTCTCATCAGTTTTGCCAAAATCCCATTGATCGCTGGGTTTTTTGGGACACTGTTTAATTATCATAGTTGACTACAGGAACTGTGTGTTTTTGTGTAGCTGAAGTGTTCTCCAATGTTTTCACAGAGCTGTACACTCTAATAGAAAAGGGTCAGAGCAGCTTTGTGGATCCTGTTATGAGCAATCAGACCAGGCTGGTGGTCAAAGAGCCCTCACTGCCCATCAATGAGCTCCTGGAGAAAAGCAGCAAGACCAGTGAGTCCAAACTGAACTTCCACCCTCTCTCCTCCTCTGTGTGGCCGAAGCACACCAACCTGGCCCCCATCCTTCGCCACCACAACAAGAGGAAAAAGGGCCACAAGAGTGACCGTTTGGTGGAGCACAACAGTGAGAAAAGCATGGGGGAAGCTGCTGGTCTGATTCCTAAAACCCAGCTGACTGGGGCTACAAGTGCCAGCACCAATCGCACATCCCAGAAGGCCAGCCAGGACACCCAGACCCCCATCAGCCCACCTCAGCAGACTGAATCAGAGGGACTCCTCAACTCCAAACCCAGGACGCCAGCTCAGACACAGACCCAGTCTCAGCAGCAGCAAACAGCTGCTTCCACCCACAGGGATCCCTCCAACCGAAGGCAGGACCCAGAGGAGAACCGGCCAGGGAAGTCCAGCCTCTATCAGACTGGAATCAGCGCGGCGACCTGGAACAACAGCCGCCCGCCGGTCTTCTTCAACCGCCGTTCCTCCAGCCTGCTTTACCAGTTCGACATCCTGCGGCGAGGTAGGGGAGCGACGTTTCCTGACCCTGACATCCAACCCAGGGTCATCTCATATCAAGTACATCAGGGTATATACTGCAAAATACTTGCATATACCGTGGTATTTATTAGGCATTAGGTGATTTGAGATGAAAAAGTTTGCGAAAAGACTAATTTTTAAATATCCCACCAAACTATATTAAGTGTGGATGTGTAAAGATCAACACAATAGTCTGACCTGACAGTAACTACAAGTCAGAAATACAGTAACTGTTTTTGTTTTTCATCTCTTAAGTACATGTTCTGCTCATGTTCTCTGCAGAGTCTGACTACACACAGGATGCTTTCTGCATGAGCGAGTGCCGGAAGGATAAGGATGAGAAGGAATATTACTGCTACAGTGAGTTTGGTATGTAACACAAAGACATACTCCATCAGGTGTACACAAACAGACATGAAGTGCAGAAAGATCCACACATTTTCAGTCAGCTTTAGAAATACTGAGCTGATCATGTAGGTCGAAATAACATTAACATTTTAAAAGATTTCCTTCAGATAATGCACATTTCATCTAAAGACACTGTGCACAATCTTACCGCATGTGTTTAGCTCTCAGAGTATGTGTTGAGGATGGCTGTCAGCTACTACCACTCTAAAGTTTAGCTCAGTATCTGTAAAACTACATAAGTTGAAACCGTGCATGTGCTGGCAACGGTGTTTTAACTGTGACGGCTATACTGAAAGTGATCGACTCTAATAGTTATGCTACATGTGGCTTTTTGTTTTGGCTCATTTCAATTAGCCATGAAGTCCATCTTCTTTAGGGAGACTCGAAAAGTTAATTGGTTATAGACGTACATTCAATAATTATTGTTTTGAAACTTCATTCAAATTCATCCAGTGGTTCATAAAATATTACACCAAGAGTTTTTAACTGTTTTGTGCTAAATTCAACTTTTTCAGCTAATTCCACATTTTTTAGCTTATTTCAGCTCATTTCACTTCCTTCTGGTAGTTTAAGCTTCTTTCTTTCTTTTCAGGTACTTTTCAGCTATATTTAGCTAATTTCAGCTTTTTTTAGCTAGTTTACTAATGTTTGTTCTCATTTCTGGTTATTTAAACCTAATTCAGCAAATATGTGTTCTTTCTGCTTTTTTCTGCAAACTTAGGCTCGTTCTTCCATTTCAGCTACATTTCAGCATGTTTAGCTAATTTCTTCTGTTTTTCAGCAAGTTCTTCAGCAATGAGCTCTTTTTGTAGAAAATGCAATTTCTCTAGTTTTCATTAAGCTAGGCTAATCTAAGCTAAGTAGCCTTAGGATATAAATTAATTTATTTCCTAAACTCTGAAGTAATTTTGAAAAACCTCTTAAATTTGTATCTCATCTTCAAATGGAAGATCTACAATTCAAAATATATTTATACATTTTTCTCTCCTTCTGAAACAGCTGTCAATGGGATCGTCCATGACATCGACATTTTACCTAAAGGCGTGCGGCTGATAACGCTGATGGTCAGCAGCGACGGCTTCTACAAGATGAGTCGTCTGTACGTGACCCCAGAAACCTTCTTCTTTAAAGTTCACCTCCTGGTCTTGGACACCTACAAGTGCAGCAAGCCCTGCCCTGATATCAAACTTGGTAAGTGTTGAGAGTAAAAGTTTTCCTAAAAGCCCAAATATTTTGTCTTCATGCTAACAGTGAAAATGAGATTTGAAAGTGAGAAGCTTTCTTAGTGAAGGACTTTACATATGAAAGGAAATAAAAAGGAATTTAAATGCATCTTAAGCTTGCTTTCTGTCTTCAAAACATGTCATGTGTTGTCTGGAGTGTCTTAAACACGTCCTTCTCATTTTTGTCACTGGCGTCTCAAACCCTTTTCAAATTGGTTGCGTGTGTCTCAGTTTTGTTGTGGGTGTATTGAACTTTTCTTGTGTTGTTCCAGTTCACTTATTTTTTTGAGGATCTAAAATTCTCAATTTTGTTGCACAAGTCTAAAATATCAAAGTGCATTCTCAATAATCCAGGTAAAAAAATCCAACAAAGTTCAGTCAGGTCATCTGGACGGTTTCTTATTTTTGTTTAAACGTTTCGTCCTTCATCCAAAAGACTTCATCACTCCGAGGACTAGGAGCCACAACAAACTCAGTCCCACAAGCAGCACACTCACATAGTGGGCCAACCAGTTTACAGGTGATAAGTTGGTTTCTGGAGCCCGCCCTCTCCCCCGTCAACTCCTCTGAGGCAGCCATAGCCAAAGGGGTTCAAACATCAAAGTTCATGCTCAAAAATCCAGGTAAAAAAATCAAACAAAGGTCAGGTCCTCTGGACGGTTTATTTTTTTCTTATTGAAACGTTTCATCCAAAGGACTTTGTCAGTCTGAGGAGCCGCAACAAACTCAGTCCCACAAGCAGCACACTCACTGACGAAGTCCTTTGGATGAAGGACGAAACATTTCAACCAAAAAAACAAAACAAAAAAGAAACCGTCCAGATGACCTGACTTAACTTTGTTGGACAAATCTAAAACCTTTCTCAAATTTGTCGTGGGCTTCTTGTCCAGTGCGGACTGAACTTGGCAGAAAGATCTTCTTCTACTCCACTTCTGTTTCCTGGAATATCTTGCAAAAAGATTTGAAGCTCTCGACCTTGACCTCTCTAAAATGGCTTCAAACATCTGTTAAGTTCATGGCAAAAACCAACGCAGACATGTTCCTGTTTTTAGTTTTATACATCGCTTTACAACCTAGCTGTTTTTGTTTAGTTTTTTTTTTAAATACCATTTTCTTTCATTTGTTCTTCTCAATTTACATGCTTTCTTTTATGATTGTCCACTGTTGTCATCACTCTGTTAAAATCAGGCCTCTCTTGTAAATGAATCCCCCAGGCTCAATGGGACTAACCTGTATAAATAAAGGTTGAATGAATCCCTTTTGAAGAGTGCTGGATTATGACACATGGGAGCTCTCCTCTCACAGAAAACATCTGAGGTTATTTCTCTAAAAATCCAGGTCTAAAATCCACACCAATTATACACAATAAGTAAATGAGTCACCAACAGTCACATCTCTTTGTGAAAACACCCTCAAGTTGAAAATTGTATGACAAGTTCGCACCTTTGGGGCATGTGGGGAGTCATTTTCTAGTCTTTAGTGAAAACACAAAAACTGCTCAGCGTTGCCCTTTTCTCAATTCCTCTTAACCTGCCCTCTGCTTTTTCCCAAGGAACCAGATACATCGTCATGGGTCAGATCTACCACCGGAGGCGCCACCTTCCCGGTGACCTCCAGAACCTGCTGGGAGGCAAGCTGAAACCCGGAGACGGACTTCTGCGAAGCAACAGCTACGTCAAGAGGTTCAACAAACGGAGACACCAGAAAGCTCTGGAGGCCGCCCGCTCCAAATGTAGATGAACCAGAGATAAGACTATCGCCCCCTCTGCAGGGGAAGAGACGTTGCAGCTGATGTTAATGGATCTTAACTAACCCCACAGTATTGGTCAGGACAGAGGACATGTTGCAGAAGGACATGGATGGGTTCTCACATAGGACTGCTGCCACGTATCATAGTATTGACACATCTTTTATCTTCTAAGTCCCCAAAGTACTGAGCTGTGGCCTTTTTGCTACATGCAGCTCTTACCAACAGGATTTTTCACGATATTTTTAACCTTTGGGACTCCGACCTCAAATCTTTTCACTGAGCACGTCTCAGACTCTTCATGCATTCGTGGCTGGTTCATGAAGTACCTGATCGAAACACAGTGACCTAATTTAAAATGGAATACTGGCTCATCTAGAGCACACAAGGTTTGGAAAAGACAAAAGAGAAATGTTGTAAAACGAGCGTAGCTGTGGAAGCACGTTTCAGTTTGGGGGTGCCGCGATCACATGTGAGTCTTTATAACAGAAAAGTGAAATGAAAACTTGCAAAACATATTGTATGGACATTTAAATGTGCTGGTATATCAGAAAGACAACATCTGTAAAAAATAGTATGCTAATCTGCCAACATTTTGTAGGTTTTAAGCATTTGTAAAAAATTTGCACGCTGATATACAAGAACTGCTCGTTTAGAAATTAGAATAACAAAACACAATATCAAATGGTTTAATTCTTTTGTTTGTTTGTTTTGTTTTTGTTCATGCACATCTTCTAGCATCTATCAAGGGGTGCTGCAGCACCCTCTGCACTCCTACTTCCCACAGCCTTGCTAACAACTTTACATAATGAACTTCGTTTTTCCCATCAAGTTTGGATTTTAGGAATACGCCTCTGTCTCACACGTGAAATATATTTGGTTTCAATAACACCTGACGTTTTCCATAAATCCTAAATAATCATAAAAACCTGCAACTTTGATTATAATTTTAGAAAATGTTTACGTTGATTGGTCAATGTTACAACCAAAACAACCAAATTTAAAAAAAATATATTGTAACAAAACTTCAATACACAGTTTGGTGAGTTGTAGCACTTTGGTTGATACTAGTAAGCAGGAAAAGCACAATTAATTAATTAAAAATAATTAAAAAGCAGCTACAAAATCACAGAGATGGATGAAAACAGGTCGAGAGAAACATTAGGAGGAGCAGCTTTGGTTGTGTTCAAGTTCAAGGATCTTTAGTATCCTCAAGGGCAATGTGGCTTATTGTCAGTAGACACACAAGACAAGACATTGAGACATTAAGAGTACATGAAATCATCATTGTGCATTGAGAAGCCAAATTAATTTTTCAGTCTGTTTGTCCTACATCTGGGCAGCAGACACCTGCATCCAGTGGTGTAGTCTATGTGATACTCGGGCATATGGAGTATACCCACTAGAAAAGCTTAAGAATTTCAGTATACCCAATTTAAAGTGCCAAAAGATACATGACATATCATTAGGTACGTGTCATTGATACGTTAAACAGCAGTTAAACGCTTCCATAACCTTCTATTGGTATGCAGCGCTTTGCTTTGATACTGTTATATAACATGTTTTTAATACAAAGCCAACTGTTGTACAAAGTTTGTTGTACATTTATTCAAACTATAAGCATCAGAGAAATATGGAAATGTTCAATATGCTTAAAAATCAAAATAAATTGACGATGACATTGTACCAACCAGTGTACTTTGGTTTCTAAGCACAGTTTACCCACTACAAAAATGTAGACTACACCACTGCCTGCGTCCAGATGAAAGGAATCTGAACTCACCGTGGAGTGGGTGAATAAGATCTGCCAGAATAAGCCTGGCCTTCTTCACTGACCTCGCCTTGTGTAGGCCAGTCTGTGTTTGAGCACGTCTGCTTCTTCACTAACTTTAATTACAAATGAAATGTGTCAAATTTCCAAAGGGAGCCCGACAGACTGTCGGTGGAGAACTGAACTGAGCTGTGAGTCTTGTTGCAGGTATCTGATCCTTTCCACACGTGGACACTCAAAGGCGTACTTAAATTGTGGCCTTTTTTTAAATCGGCTCTTGCCGTTTGTTTTTTCTTGTATTATTAATGCTGTGGGAAAACCAGTGCTTAGAAGGAACAATTGGAAAAATGAGACCATGTTTAGAAAAGCAAAGGGACAAAGGTAAAAATAAATAAAGGGTTATGTGAAATAAGGGAAGTGTTTGTGTATGATGGGATTGTCTGAACTTGTGCTTCTTTTGAGAGAGGAATAAACTGCACTGAACTCTTGCATTGCCTAACTAAAGATGATGTGAAAAAATATATATGCTTGTGTGTGTTTTTGTACTCTGTTCTTTCACGCGATCACATCCAGCTACCCATTAAAACATTGATCTTTATTATCATTATCAGTGAAGAAGTCCACAAGAGAAATACAAGTTTAACAACCGTACTTTCAGCTTGTCCAGTCCTCCAGACATCCCCACTCTGTCAGCTCTGGTCAGTTCCCAGGCTCGGTGAAGTCTAAATCTGCAATCAGTGCTGGAGGGGACAGATGCATGTGGGCAGGAAACGGGAGCCTGCTCCACACTGTGGCTACTATCTCAGTGGGAGGACATTCCTCATTGCAGAGGATGTAAAAAAAAAAAAGGGGGGGGGGGGGTAGGGTAGGTGGGAATATCTCAGAGCTGCTTCCTGTGTGAGAGCTCCCAAACGACTGCGGGCTTGTGGTCATCTGTGGCGCACTCGGCGTCCTCGTGAGGCTCTGGATCCATTTAGTGGTTTGAGTGGGGCGTTGTAAAAGGGGGGGGGGGGATTGGGGAGAGGGGAGTGAAACATCAAAGCTGGAGGTGTCATTTTGAATCATTTGATGACGGTGAAAGCTGTCAGTGTGAAAAGGTCATGACCCTGTCCACTGGTGCTCGCCTCACCAGTTGAAGTAAGTTGAGATGCAGCAGTTTGTAGAGTTTCCCTCTAAGCGTCACTTTCTGCTGCTCTGTGATCCATCGCCTGGTCATTTGTTGGAGCATGACTCAAATTATTACAATCTAAAAGGATTACATGCCTCCTGCCACTTTTCATAGCCACTCTGGTCAAACCTTGAGAATAAAGTTATGTTGGAACCATCAGTGTAGTATGTGTTGGGAATGACTCTCAGTGACCACCATATTAAATTGCAGCTCAACATTGGCTTGAACCGCAGCCATGTTTTTGCAGGCCAAGTTTGGTTAGCTGTGACGGCCATATTGAAGCGGACTGACTCCAAAAGTTGATCAGCTGTACATTTACATCCAAATGTTTCATTAAAATCTGTGCAGCGGTTTATGAGATATTTTGCTAACAGGGAAATAACGGTTTTGTGAGCAAAGATCAAATACGTGTACTGCTTAATATATGTGTTGTGCATGACTCTTAACTTTTGCCATACCAAATTATTGTTGAATATCTGTAGAATTAACACTTTCAGACATTAATTTGTTACCTAAGGTCAGATGGATGTGGCGGCCATCTTAAACTGGGTTGTCTTTGAAATTTAATCTGTACAATTTATAATCAATTTTTTGAAAGTTTCAATAATATCCGCACCCAACGGTTCATGAATTAGTGTTGCTAACAATCAGAACACACAGTAATGCTCACCGTTGAAAGCAAAAAGTTACCGTAATAGTAATATGAAATATATATATTTTTTATTTCCATCTGAGAAAGATGAACAAACATCCAATTGTTAATGTCCATGTGTTTAATTCAACTTGCATCAAGAATTCTTCATTCTCATCAGTTTTTGCAAAAAACACCCCTGAATAATGCAGGTGAGCCAAAAAAGTCTCATCACACTGATTGTCTTTTGTCCTCCAACAGATAAGGAATAATTTTAGGTCTTCTGGAGCAGAATAATTAACAAATTATTTGTTTTTACTTTCTAATCAGTGATTCCAGAGCAAGAGGCGGCAAGACACCCATCATGATACAACCCCTCTCAGGCTTTATTGTTGGAGCTTCCCATTTAGTTTTCACTTTTTACAATTCCAAGAAGTTCTTCTTTCTTCTCTAGGAATAAGAGCTGGAGATCATTATCGCCCGATGCTGAAAATGGGGCAAGAATGTTTTTGCCCTTAAATATTTCAAGAACCACAGGACAAATTTTAATGAATGTAAAGACTGTTGCTTATTGAATGCACCTGTTTGTGGGTGGTTCATGATAATTGTTTGAGATGTATATATATATATATATATATATATATATATATATATATATATTCTGATTTGTGTTTGGGGTCGATGTGTAGCCCAGAAGGCATACCTGTAGCTTCTTGACCACACACGCATACACAAACGCACGGACGTGCTTAATAATGCTGGAGATAAATAAACGTAGATACTAAAGAAAGAGAGTCTGGGACTCTGTCAACGGCAAGTCAAAACCCTTTGACGGCTGCACCAGTGATTCACTGTACAAGGACACTTGCAGAAAGTAATTCTACAACGGATTAACTTTAGTCAACCTGATTCAAAAAGATTGCCACAAGGATCTTAAAAAAATAAATAAAAAATGGCTACAAGTCAGTCAGTTTTACAGATATTGAGCTAAAAATTGGTGTGGCAGTAGCTGAGACTGATCCTCAACACAATGAGTTCTAACAGATTGCACAGCTTTGCTTAACCACTTAGATCAGTGGTTCTCAAACTGGGGCCCCCAGACCCCTGGGGTCCACAAAAATTTAACCAAAACATTTTTTTATAAGCACGTAGAGTAGGGATGCACAATATTATCGGCATGGTATTGGTATCGGCCGATATTCGCAAAAAAGTTAAATATCAGACATCGGCCATTCCATCAAAATAACTCACTTATATAAAAGGCTTCAGTTGCAAGTTAATTTTTAATTTAAGAAACTGTCAAGTATCTCTATTAATGCACTACTACTTCTTGTTTTGTTGTATGTACAGCACATTGGTCCTGTGGGTGTTTAAAAGTGCTCTGTAAATAAAGCTGGTCTTGTATGGTATGCATTTTTCACTTGTCGCTTGTGAACAGGTTGAGTTTAGATTTGTTAAAATTTACAAATTTGCACTGTTCGAGTGTTGTCATTGTGTTAGAGAGAGTAAATGTCATGAATAAATTTCACATTAAACATAATCCAAGTTGAATTGTTACATTTTCAACCCCCTTTTTGGCATCTGCCTTTGGTAGCAGGTCAAACTGACAAAGACCATGTAGAATAATGTAGTATTTTAATCCCACAGCAGAGAAAGCTATGTAGTCTCTGTAAGTGGGTCTAGGGAAAAACATATCTGTATTGGTATCAGCTAAATAAATTTAAACATATCGGCATTTCGGATATCGCCCCAAAATCAAATATCGTGCATCCCTAACGTAGATGTTTAACAACCCATTAAAATACACCAAAATACAGGAAATCACATCTACTTTATTCAAAACGTAATGGGGGAGGACCCCCAGACCCCTCCACCCCCTCACTGTTTGCATTCCACATCGATCATTTTACAAATGAAGCTGTGTTACTTGCTGACTACTGCTGTTATCATTCTGTTCAGTTTTATGTAGTTTTCTGTAATAATTTGAAGAAGTGACAATACATTTATTATGTTCATTATGTGAAGAGGTAAAGTTTTAAAGTGGTTTTTGATGCTGTTAATTTTCTCAAAACTTGAAATTATTTTTTTTATTGTGTATTGAATGAAAAACATCCCATATTTAAAAGTGTAAAAATTATATTAACACTATTAAAGAACATGTTCTAAGTATTAATACTATTTACATTGCATTAAAGAGACAAATAGAAGAAAGTTATTTAATAAACATGAGAGTTATGAGGGGGTCCCTGAACCCAAAAAGTTTGAGAACCTCTGTTTTAATGTAGTGATTGAAAGTAATTCAAAACACACTTTTATTCATATTCAGAGTACTTTGAATTTAGTTTTATTTAACAGGATTCACATTTATCATTATTTAGTTTTTACTTACGAGAAAACTTTATGTAGAACTGTATAAAGTCAGCATAAACGTTCCTCTAAAGCAGCTTCGGAGCAAAGAAAGTGACAGAAAACCACCGGCTCAAAACATTATTTTATTATCCAAGGTGAAATGTCCTATCAAGTACAAAAAGAGAATCTGTTCAAAGTGGCCACAATCTGTTAAAAACATAGAGTATTTCTTTTAGCCTGCAGGTCCCCAACACACTACTTAAAAACAAGCAAGAACTGAGAACTTATTTTTTTCTATATATCATTTTTGAATAAATAAGACATTAAATGTTGATATAGAAACTCAACTAAACTTGCAGGTTTCTTACAAAAAACAGCGTACAAGTTTCGTTGTTCAAAACGATAATGCTCACAAGGTGCAGCACTTTTATATAAATGACTATTTCACCTAAATGTAAAGTCCATTTCAAATAAAAGGGAAAAAAAATAGTTTAAATTTACAGGACGACTTATTTGCTGGTTCAAATAGTGAAAAATAAAAGTTTCTACTCCTCTAATTTGGACAGCAGTTATATACAAGTTTACAACATTGAAGAAATTAAAGCATATCATCATCATCTGGTAATGGCACAAACATTCAATCATTTGACAGACAAGATGCTCCGTTATCCATTTTGCTTTTACAGACAAAATGTAAAGCAATAAAAAAGGTCATTTTAAACAAATGAACTTAAGAGGTGACTGTCATGTTGCTGCTCTCCTACAAAACTGAGAAACTACAAAAATGTTCCCAGAAACCCTTGAAAAAAATAAAATAACGCAGCAATAAAATTTTCATACAAACCCCAAAGATACAAAGAATCCAAAGTCCCCACTCGGATGTTTAACTCCCCCACAGGCCGCAAAATAACCGAGTTGATAAGGTTCATTATCCAATTACTTAACCAAGCCTTTGGGATGGAGCTGAAATATGTGAGCCAACCTGTCATCATCAGTGTTAGAAGAGGAGACTGAGATAAGGAGGAATAATAAATAAAAAATGAAAATAATGAAAGCTTATGCACGGGTGTCCAAAGTGCGGTCCGAGGGCCATTTGCGGTCCTTGGAGTGATTTTGTGCGGCCCACAACTGCAGTTTAAGAATGGTATCATTTTGGCCAGCAGGCTTAAGAGGTTGATGCAGACTTTCTGTAAATTAGTTGGTAATCCTTTTTTTTATATAATGTTTAACAGCAAAACAGATGAAAAACAATCTTCTCAAAATGAGCAATATTAAGCAAAATACAAACTTATGGCTATAATCTTTTTATTTTCACTTCATGGTACAAAGCACCAAAAACCTTGACTGATTTCTACCAGAAAGGAGACTTTTGGATAATGATTCATAAAGCTTGGCTAAATATTGCAGTTGATAAAACAATCCAGAGGGAAATTGGATCTTTTTAAATGAATATAACGTGGTATCATCTACATACGAGTTGATCAACTTTATCAATGAATCTGTTGTAGCGAACGACAGCTGGATGATTTTTCAGAACTTCGATCAGTCTTTAAATGGTAAGTGGACTGTACTTATGTAGCGCCTTTCTAGCTTATGAAGACACTCATAATACAATCTGTGCCTCATTTACCCATTCATACAGCACTCTACTAGATCTCTACAAAGCTAATTGAACAAATCATTCTAAAGAGACTAATCAGAGCTTTTAGACCACATTTGTACACTGATGGGACACACAGAGGCAATGAGGGGTTCAGTGTCTTGCCCAGGGACACTTCAGCATGTGACTGCTGGTGGATTCGAACCCCCAACTCTTGCATTGGAGGACGACTGCTCTAACCACTCAGCCACAGCTGCCCTCTTTAGGGCCATCCATGGTCCAAAAGGCTGACAGACCCCCTTTAAAAGGACACTTACTCATATTATGCAACAGGCTAAAATTAACTTTCCATATACAAAAAACCAACATGGACCCAACAAATCAAATAATTTAAATCCTTTTTAATAAAATATATAAGCTTAGTGTTTGAGACTTTTAATGTTTGGGCTCTATTAACTTTTTCTTCACCCAAATTAGTAACCTTTTGTCCTTTCTCCAAAATATTGCTCATGTTGAGAGTTAAATTCACATCTTTGTGGCCCATGAGTCCTTTCATCTGGATATGAAAACATTTGGACATCCCTGCTGTATACGACGGGAGATGCAGTACTTTAAATCCTTCCTAATTAATATTTACCTTCTAAAAAGACCACATGGTCTCAAATTCTTCAAAAACAACAATCGTTTTTTTTTATTTCCTTGCATTTTAAAAAACATGTGGAAAAAAAAGCTGATTGGTTGCAGTGGGTGTGATGAACTGTAACATGTTTAATACTGGAAATAAACATGACTTATGTTTTAGACGTCTGGTTATAACCCAACACCAGTTGAGTATAACATTATTTTGTGCAAGACAAGGTGAACTTTGACCTTCCACGCTGACAAAAAGCTGCTGTCGAGCATGCAGGAGTTAAATGAGAAAGTTCAATAAAAGCTGCACATTCTAATTAAATACTTCATCGTCGACGAGAGTGCGCACGTTTCTATTTGAAGCAGACCTGGAACCTGAAGATGTGATTGGATAAAAACACTGCTAAAGCAAAGAGTCCTACATAAGACGCTGAGAAGATCCAACCAGCTTAGTTTCTTCTCGTGGAGTGGCTACATTTGTACGACTGGCTGGTTGGGACGATCAAGGCGACACAAAAAGTCTGCAGCTGCCCAGTTCCTGGTCTGAAAGTAGAAAAAGAGGCTTTTCAATCCACTTCCTTCCCCCTGTAGCACTGCAGTGCAGGTGGTAGAAGGTGAGTTTGACAGCAGTGCTGGAGGGCCCACTTTCCTCCAGAGAGCAGAACCGACACGGACAACAGGTCCTAATAAATCACAGGTGTTTTTATGACAGTTTAGAGGAGGACGCTAAGACGCTGCTGACTGTAGCTTGTTGTTATGTGACCTAAAGAGACGGGCAAAAAGAGGAGGAAGAAAACGGTTGGAAAACTTCGTTTCTGTTTTTTTTATTAAAAGCTTTACAATATATGACAAAAATATAACTACGGAAACATACAAAAAACACGTGTCGGATGCCAGTGGGTCAGACAATTTGATGCAGACAAAACAGCCATGTTGGTTAAATGTCACTGAAATGTGATGTCGCTCCAACATTTTTACAACTTTTTATAAACACGTTTTAAACCCGGATGCTGACAAGCTTACCGTATTTAGAACAGGAAACAGGAAAGCTAAACTAGATTTCTCTCCAATCTATGTTTACACTTTCTATCATTATTTTCTTCAGAACATGAAAATAGTCCTTCACAAAAAAAAAAATAGAATATGAACATAACATTATACATAGGTACAGGGAAGAATGCTCACGGTGAAAGCTTTTTATTTGTGTTAAACTGAGGTAAATATGTCAGCATGTTATAAGAACGAGAACCAGTTCTATCAAGTTAGAATATAAATTACTGTATGTGTGTAAAGCTTTAACTGATTTTACAACCAAAATCAACAATTTTTCCTTAAAACCAAGTCTAAAGAAAAGATCAAGCTAAGCAAAACGTCGTTTCACTTCACATCCAACCCACGCATAATTCAAACGCGTGTGAGCGTGTAAAAAAATACATTTTTCCTCGAATAATTTCTGCTACCAACATGGCCGCAGTTAATAAACAGTAGAAACTTTTTTTTTTTCCCCGCTTGTTAGTTTTTAAAATAATAATAAAAAAAATCATCACACCTATTGTGTGGCCACGTTCTTACAAAGTCTTTAATGCTGTTTTAAACAAGTAAAAACAGCAACATCCGAGATAAAAAAAAAAAAATTAAGTTATGTTTAAGAGTGACCCCCGGCACCCTGGAGTTAGACATCACAATCTGAAAGAGAGAGAGAGAGTGGATGGGAGTCAATACATGCTGGTGATGTACATCTTGGTTTAAGGCACAGAAAAGCTGGATGTGAGTCATGAATTTCAAATGTTATCGATGAAATGAACGCGGCAGCATCCACACTGAGCCAGGAGACAATCAGATGTGTTGAGAGAATTAAAGCACAGCAAAACAAACAAAAAAAGGCTTTATCATTAATGGTACTGACAAGTGAATACATTTATACCAAATATAAAAACACACACAGGTAAAACGTCTTCCTGTGGAAACATTTTTTACATACTTTTAATAAACACATGATTTTATTATGTTTTAAGTAAAAGCAGTAAGTTTAGGGGGGGTTGATGTTGTTCCAACAAATACTATTTACATAATTACATTTTCACTGAGGCAATAAAACAACAACCTGAAAATGCTTTTTAGTTTTCCTTGTAAGATTTGTTTTTAAATGGCAGGGTGTGTGATGTCACATGCGCCGCAGTATGGCAGCACAGACGGAAGATCCGCTTCAACTCGCTTTATTGTCCTATTGTTTTTGTTTTAACTGTTTTTTGCGCTTACACTGCACACCCACACTACAGTATGACCGCAACGCACTTTTAGAGTTTTGTGTGTCGCTGCCTTGCCATCCTACCATGGTGGTTTAGTTCCTGACCTCATTCCAGACTCAGGCTCTGACCTGTCATGGTGACTGTCTCCATGATCCTCCATCTGCCTCCACAGACCAAACTCTACAGAACAGTTCAATTCTGTAGAGAAACCTTGGATGTTCTGTGTCTGCCAGACCCTGTTCTGGACGGCAGTCATCGTCTGTTGACATGGTTGTTATTATCATCATGCCGCTAACAAGACCACGCCGCTAAAAGAACCTCACTGCTAACAGAACCATGCTGCTAATAGTACCATGCTGCTAAAAGAACCACACTGCTAACAGTACAATGTTGCTAAAAGAACCACACTGCTAACAGTACCATGCTGCTAAAAGAACCACACTGCTAACAGTACCATGCTGCTAAAAGAACCACACAGCTAACAGTACCACGGTGCTAACAGAACCACACTGCTAACAAAATCATGCTGCTAAAAGAACCACACTGCTAACAGAACCACACTGCTAACAGTACCATGGTGCTAAAAGAACCACACAGATAACAGAACTACACTGCTCACAGTACCATTTTGCTAATAGTACCATGCTGCTAAAAGAACCACACTGCTAACAGAACCATGCTGCTAACAGTACCATGCTGCTAAAAGAACCACACTGCTAACAGTACCATTTTGCTAATAGTACCATGCTGCTAAAAGAACCTCACTGCTAACAGTACCACGGTGCTAACAGAACCACACTGCTAACAAAATCATGCTGCTAAAAGAACCACACTGCTAACAGAACCACACTGCTAACAGTACCATGGTGCTAACAGAACCACACAGATAACAGAACTACACTGCTAACAGAATCACACTGCTAATAAAACCACACTGCTAACGGTACCATGCTACTAAAAGAACCACACTGCTAACGGTACCACACTGCTAACAGAACCACACTGCTAATAGAACCATACTGCTTAAAGTACCATGCTACTAAAAGAACCACACAGCTAACAGAACCACACAGCTAACAGAACCACACTGCTAACAGAACCACATTGCTAACAGTACCATGCTACTAAACAAACCACACAGCTAACAGAACCACACAGCTAACAGAACCACACTGCTAACAGAATCATGCTGCTAAAAGAACTACACAGCTAACAGAACCACACAGTTAACAGAACCACACTGCTAATAGGACCATGCTGCTGTAGATTTATTTCTTTTTCACTTTGGGCACCTTGTTTTTGTATTTTTTTTTCTATGTTTTGATATTTGTTTTTTTTAGTGAGTCGAGACGGTTTTTCTCGTCGTGAGCATTTAATTACATTGTTGACCTTGTGTTGATCTGCATATGACAAACCTAAACTTATATTGCTCAGCAGTTGCTCAGAGAAGCTCAAAGGAAATCTGAATGTGAACCAACTTTCATTTGATTTGAACTGTTTCAAACAATAAACACTAAGAGAACAACTCATTAATTTTATACAGAGTAAGGTAAAAATTGTTGCAGGTTGTTGTGATTAAAAAATGGTGAGAAATATTCCAACAAAAAAGGCAAAGTGGGTGACTGAAAATTACACAAAACCCATTTATTACTTAATTCAAACAAAACACATTACGCCTAAATCCAACAACTGATGAGGTTTGCATGCTTTAGGTTTACCATAGACAATAACACCAACATAGCCGATGACTTTTTGGGGTTAAACAAAGAGGCGAAAAAAATCAATTACAAACTTTCCATATGAAGTGAAACTGGAGAATTTAATAAATATTCCAAATTAAAAACATTCCATGGGAATTATGAGGAATTAAATGGCAATTTAAACAAAAAGGACCATATTCAAACAAACATGTAAACATTTTGTTTTGCCATAAGCAAATAATGGATATACAGTAACAAATCTAATGAGCTAATTCGCTTATGATGATGTCACTGATTACCTCAACCACACAGCTTCTACAAAACACTGGATTTAGAAAAGTTTTATTAATTTTTTTGTTGTAATCTTTTTCTAAATTCACGCGCACATCTCTGAACAGGAATAATCACGTTATATGATGTTTTTCATAAAGTTTTGTCACTGCTTTCCCATAAAAATGGCACATGGCGCAAAAAATTAATTAACTTTTTCAATTTATGTCTAGTTGTTTATCCTTTGGCTGTTTTTGTTCTGTAGGGGTCCCCAAAGGGAGTGACCTTGGTAATGATTATCCGTTATTTGTCCTTCCTGAAGCAACCTGCACTTGAACATGCAGCCTCAGGACTACAAGTCCGCACTCCAGTCTAAATGTATGTACAGAAATTGTCTATTTGAATAAACAGAACCCTGAACAAAATTATTTATGTTATTTGAGCATCAGTTTTATCCTCATAAAAACAATTAAACTCCATTTCACAACAAAATTACACCTGCACGCAGAAGTTTTTACATGTTTCTATATATGTGTCCCACATGTCCAGGTGACGGTTCTTTATAGTGTTGTACTTCTTACTGCACGTGCAGAAATTTAATCGGGTCGTTTTAGTCAAGAATTGGCTAAAATTTATTTTCTTAAACTATATTTACAATCCCTGTTGAGGGCCAAGCTATAGAAATTTAAATTCCAAGTTTATTCCCATAAAATTCACATTAATTATCATAGAAAGTTTCCAACTTGGAAAATTCTCTAAATTTAGCAACCCTAATAACTGTAGTCATTCATCAAGGCTAGTTTTTATACTCTCCCCAGTTCAGAAGAATAAAATGTGTCCCTTTTGTTTTATTATCAGCTGCTCAGTGTTTAAAAATCACCAACATCTTACCTGCTGGCTTTAAAGCCTTTGAGCTTCTGGACGAAGAAGTTCTCCAGAACCTCGGCACACTGGTAAAAGGGCGAGTCGCTGGGATTGTAGTATCGGCAGTTGTCAAAGATTTTGGTCATGTCTGCTACAAATTCTGTCAGCTTGACGTACCCCCGTTTGTGTAACCTCTCCTCCATGGTGGACAAGTCTGAGAGGAGAGATTTTAATCAGACGTTTAAGAGGTTGTTCAACTGGACGGTTTGTCAAAGACAAAGAGCACAATGTACGGGAACGCACCAGACACATTTTGGAGTTTTCTAATTGACTGTTTTATAAATCAGAGAGTTAGCTTTGAAACATTCTCAGTTTATGTGGTGTCCACTGGACAGACAGAAAATACTGCATGGCTTTAAATGCGACAGCAAAAATCCAACACTTATGCCAGAGTTAACCCCGACCTTCTCACACTTCCAGGCAAGTTACTGCGATGTGACCTATTTATCATTCCTGAGGAGAGCATCACTTCTCCACAGGAATGTTTGACAATGCAGCAAATATCAGAACTTCCGTTTCCAAGTTTCCCTTGAAAAGTAGCTTTCAGTGTCAGCAGCCTTGTTAAATTTGTAAAAATAATAATAATAAAAAAAGCCTTATTAAAGCCTTGTTAAGCTTGTTAAATCTAACTAGAGAAATTGCATTTCATGTAAACATTCAGCTCATTGCTGAAGAACTTGCTGCTGAAATGGAATTAGCAGAAGAAAGCAGAAAGAACAGATTTTCTGAATTGGCAGAAATAAGCACAACATTTAGGTAATTACTGGTAGCTTAAAAAAGCTGAAATTAGTAAAAAATGGTTGAAAGGCAGAAAGAAGCTTAAACTACCAGAAGGAAGCAGCAAGAACTGAAATAAGCTTAAAAAAAAAAGTGGAATTAGATGAAAAAGCTAAAATTAGCATAAAGCAGCTAAATAGTAGCTGAAATAGCAGAAAGGGCTTAAACTATCAGAAAAAAGCTGAAAGGAGCACAACAAGCTGAAATTAACAGAAAAAGTTAATTTGGTTGAAAATAGCAGAAATTACCACAAACAATTTGAATTTATCTGAAAACAGCCAAAATTAGCTAAAGAATGCTAAAAAAGGTAGAACAAGCTTACATGTGCAAAAAGAAGCAGAAAAAACACGTTTGCCCAATTATACTGAAACAAGCAAAAATTAGCACAAAAAAGAGGACATTTTTTGAAACAAGCTACAATTTTCAAAAAACAGCTAAAAAGTTGCTAAAAAAAGGCAGAAAGAAGCTTAAATTACAACATGAAGGTGGAAAGAGCACATTTTTGCCGAATTAGTCTGAAAAAAGTTGAAATGAGAGCAAATGTGGAATTACCTGAAAAAGCTAAAATTAGCATAAAACAGCTAAATAGTAGCTGAAAAAAGAGAAAAAGCTGAAATTTGGCAGAAATAAGTTGAAAGGAGCATAACAAGTTGAAATTAGAAGAAATAAGTCAGAAGAAGCACAAAAATGTTGTAGTTAGAGGAAAGACGCTCAAAGGAGCACAAAACAATTGAAAAAACCAGCTGAAATTAGCTGAAAAAAAGTTAAAATTTACACAAGGAAGCTGAAAGCAGCTGAACCAGAACAAAATGTGAAAGGAGCAGTAAAAGGTTGTAAACACATCTAAAGATTTGAAGGATGTAAAATAAGATCAATTCCTTTTCAATGAGAAAAAAAATGTCAGAAAAGGTTAAATATAAAAAAAAACTAAAGTTGTACCAACAAAAGTCATAGCAGGTTTGTCCTGAAAGAGCTAAACGTTTTGATATATGATTTGTTGAAATGGCTTGAAAACTGCAGGATGAGATTGTGCCAAAAAATGTACAGAAGAAAAATGACTCATAATAGAGTCATGCTTCATAAACATTCACACTTTTAAAGACCCCTCCAAAACAATTAGGAGTGCATTAGTAAGGAAGCTGACTGGCAGCAGCTGAGGCTTCATATAATCTACTTTTGTTGGTGGGTTGCTTTGCTCCACTTCCTCAAGGCTGCGTTTAAAGCAAACATATCTGACTCAAACTCTTAAGCCCCCAACCCCCACCCAACTGGCTAACAAACCTCATGGTCAATATCAAAGACCTCCTTCTTCTCCATCAGATTTCATCTCAGAACCCTCCATAAACTACCAACGACTGCAGCCACACCAGCCAAATACTCCTTTTATTTTTTATTTTGCTGCAAACCAACAGGGTCCTTTTTTTGTGTGGTGGGAGTGGAGGTGGGGAGGACTAGAGTTTCCAGGATCAGGTCAACACATAGTGAAGTGTGGGGCAGGTTTCTTTCCACAGGGAGTTCGGCAGGCCCCAAGAAGCTCATTAACGGTTTGTTTGTATGGAAGTTCAAAAAGGCCCTGTTGACGCAAGTCACCATTTACATGGTCGGTTTGATCTGAGTTGGAGGGCTTCCTCCCAGTTGGCCTTCTGCATTTTAGCATCTAAGATAGAAGGCATGGGGGCTACTTCAAAGATTAAAAGCAATTACAAAATGAAAACAGGAATCTCCAAAATGGAATACGCCCAATTAAATTTTAAACAAAATGAATATTGGTTAACGGCTTACTTTAAAATCCAGACAAAACTACACATCGCAAAAGTAAAACTATGCATGAATTTTAAACAGTGACATGAAATATATTAGGGATGCACGATATTATCGACATGGTATCGGCCGATATTAGCGTTAAAGTTCAATATCGGCCATTCCATCAAAATAACACTGATAGAAAAGAAGCTGATTTTGTAAGACAACCCAAGTTACAAGCTGTCATTTCCGACGTCATTGAGAAGTTACCGGTAATGGATGATAGGACTTGGGTGAGTTTTACCACAGACATTTGGACGACGTGTTAGCCCCATTAGCATGATTAGTCTTACGGCACAATAGACAGACAAAATGTTTGAACTTAAAAAGTCTGTCCTTCATGCACAGGAGTGCAGAGGATCCCACACTGCAGCTATAGGAACCTGGAACAAGCCTCTACAAGTGAGACAGCATCGCAGGAGACTAATGCTAATAAATAACATTTAACACTTTTCATTTAATATGAGTTAAAGTGATTTAGATCACTAGATCAGTTTAGATCCGTTTTAGATTTTTCTACCTGGATTATTGAGCATGCATCAGGATGAGTTAAAGTGCTTTGCATATGGCTGTTATTGAATATATGTCACCACCTCTTACAGCTGATTTTTTTTTTGTAGCAAATAAGCCTACGTTCTGACAATGGAAAGTATATAAAATATTGGTATCGTATCAGTTATCAGCCAACTAAGTTTTAACATATCGGCATAGTGGATATCGGCCAAAAATCCAATATCATGCATCCCTAATATATTAACTCATATGAATCAAATAAACAAAACAAGAGAAAAGGGAAAACATTTTTATCCCTAAAAATACATTTATAAGAAATGAATGATGGTGAATGATTTTTTTCCCCTTTTTTTAAAAAACTAAAACAATATTTTCCTGTTTGGGAGGGGAAAAGTACATTTTAACAGATGTACAGTATATATATATATATATATATATATATATATATATACATACATAACCAGGACATCCTTGTAAAATCCTTGTAAAAGAGATTGATGATCTCAATGGATTTCTTCCTGGTAAAATAAAGTGATAAAAAAAATAACCTTATAATAATAGTAATAATAAATAACTTTATAAACCCTTCCCACATTCTTGCAATGTTCTTAACAATGTTCGCGTTTGATTATTTTAAATAAACAATCCATGCCACTCGTGCGGCTCCCTCAGGTATTAAAGAGAGCCCCCACGCCAACTCCTTTCTTTGTCCGAGTCTGTCTGTTGCGCACCCGCTTATTGTGTGTCTCTGGGACACGATGGGGAAAGACAGACGCCACCCCGCCCCCTCCTGTCTCTTTCTCTGCTGTGAGAGACAGCCTCAGACAGAGAAAGGAGGGGGCAGGGGGTGGGGTCTGTCTTACACCCGAGTGAGCCAAACTCAGCCACACTCTCTTTTTAAAACCTGATTCACTCTTATTTTTCCACCTAAGCATTTTCTCTGATATTCTACTTTTGTTCATCTGAGCTGTTCATCCCTGCTTCCTGCGCAGTAGCAATGGGGAAAGACAGATCCCACCCCTCCCCCTCCTTTCTCTTTATGAGGCTGTAAGAGCAGAGAAAGAGAAAGGAGGAGCGGGGGGTGGGGTCTGCCTTTCCCAGTCACCAATTGTGTGTTGTGCACAATCTTAAGTTGAAAACCTGTGAAAGTGTGAGTCCATGAAAGTTGAACGCTACTTCACGGTTCAACTTTCACAGACTCGCTCTGTCACAATTTTTCAAAGTAAGATTGGACATGACACACAATTGGATGGATGAGCCGCACGGTCGACACTGATATTTTATTTAAAATAAATTATTTTAAATGATTTAGCACCTGCGTGCAGCCCACAGCTGAAGGATCTCCGCTCTGCAGCGGAGAAGTGGGCGTGTCCGAGAGCACTGTCAGGTGGCAGAGAGCGGAGATCGTGACACGCTGTGCTCTTTTAGAGCGTTTAGAAACATTGTTTAGAAGGGTTTAAAATCAAATATATATACATTGAATAGAACTTAAAATCTTAAACAACATAAACATTAAAAAAAAATGGGAGCAACTTGCAGAGCACAAGTGATAAAACAAATTCATATTTAGACCAATTTTAAACTTTATAGTAATGAGCACAAACAGAAGGCTCAGCTTCAAACTATAAGGGAATATAAGCAGGTTTATAAGTATACACACTTATATCACAATGTCTTTACTCACCCATTGGTTCCTTGATCACCCTGTAATAATCAGGGGCGTCATTCGTGTCCACTGGCTCCAAGAATGGCCATGCCATTTTATGTGCCTGCAGAAGGCATGAGGGGCAGGGGAAAAAAAAGAGAGATACAAATTCTTAAGAAAGTTGAAACCAAAGAAAAACAAACAGCGCCATGAAAATTACTCTGAAAGCAGGTGGGTCAACACAGATGTTCTACTCTAGTGTCCCTCCCAATTTCTCTGTTTCCCTCTCACACGGACCGCTGGATGAAGGAGGAGAATGAGAAGAAGCGAGGGAAGTTAGAAACGAAGAAAAGAAAACACTTGGGTTGGGCAGACGTCCAAGTAGGAAAGGCCGACCCATCAGATAAGGCGGACACAGAAGACTTTTGTTTGCTGCTCTTGTAGTGAACCGGACTTTCAAAAAGCAGCGAGTGTTGGGCCGACCGCAGACGGTAAAACTACTACACTGCTGCTGCTCGACTGGTTGTGTATTTGCTTAGTGTGTGTGCAGGAAAGTAGTGGAAAATAAACCTCCCCCATAAAACACTTTACGGTTTGCAGAACTAACTTTCACCTTCCTCATATCGTGCACTTGGACCAAATCAAAGCTTACCTCATAATTACCAACCCACACAAGTTTAGTTTTAATCACTGACCACAGGAAATGTAAGCCCTCTGCTCACCTGTAAGGAACGCAGGATCCTTCGCAGGCCTTCGTGGTCCTTATCGGTGAGCGGCGTGAAGACCGTCATGGCGTCCTCTGTGGACTGACACTGTGGGCACACATACTCATCGATGTGGTTGGCCTCGCTCTGCAGGATCCCCACACAGCGTCCGTGGTACCAGTTCTGACATCGATCACAGCCGATGTAAAACCTGTGAATTAAATAAATATTTAACATTCGATCTAAATAAACTAACAAGATACTCATGTAGAAAAAGCAATAAAGTATTTTTTATGTGATTTTGTTTTTTATATTTAACTAGTGTTTGTTGATTTATTTTTTAGACTAACTGAAAACATCTGGATTTGACTTTTTTGGTACTTACTGTTTATATTTGACAGCACATTGTGGAATATAAGTCTTACACTGAATTCACTTTTACATAGTTGTACAACTCATTGTAAGATTATGTTTTGGGTGAATTGTAAACAGATATAATATTTTTTCTTTTTCAGAAAGATCCAAAAGGTGTGCGAACAGAAAAAATACGACGTGTATGTACAGACACACACACACGCTTGCGGGCTTCTTACTGAGACTCGTCATATGGAGTCTGACAGATGCAGTACAGTTCCTCCGTGCTGCCCTCTTGACCCCGTTTACACTCCACACAGATGTAGTCGTCCATCTTCTTCGCCTCCTTCTCTGTGATGCCCACACAGTCTCCATGATACCAGTTAGTGCAAAGGTCGCAACCAATATAAAATCTGCACACACAACCAGAGTGATAACGGTTATGTCTTCAGATCAATATAACAAATAAAAAGAAGGGGAGGAAGCAACATCGGAGGAAAAGCAATTCAAAGTAACTGTTCTAATGTGGATGAACGTGCGTCACAAAATGTTATAGAGGAACTTTAGAACAGGAGTACAGTAGTCCCTTACTACTTCACAGTTCAACTTTCGCGGACTCGCTCTAACGCGGTTTTTCAAAATCAGATTGAACACGAGAAAAAAAAAAACGTACACGACACGATTGTTAACTTTTATATTACTCACGTGACTGGGACAATACGGGATACTTACAGTAAAAATTTAACAAAAACATAAAATACTTCGGACAGGCGCCGCCATTTTGAAGTTTTCTGTCAATAAGCCTACACTGTGTTTTCACTCATAAGGACTACATTTCCCAGAAGCCAACAGTGCCCCACCCAGAAGCCCCATTTTCTTCTGCTGAAATACTAGAGGGAAAGTTTGATCTGATCGGAATAAGTGGCGCCTATTACAGTGACTTTAGTGCCCAGCGGATGCAGAGAGCCACATGGAACACACCAGACCAGAGCAGAACCGGAGCAGAACCGGACCTCCAGACTTATCGGTGAATCTTGAGGGCTGGTAGCTGGCCCATGAGGACTTCCAAGCGGGACGCCTGCCGCCGAAGGTCCGGCGCTCCATCTGGAGCCCACCACCACTACCCCAAGCCAGAGAGCCGACTAGAACCAGCAGAGTAGGCCCACCGAAACAGAACCAAGTCGGAGCAGAACCAAGCCGCTGCTGTTCTCCAGAGCTAGTGAGTAAAATTTAATCGCTACATACAATATATCAGTGTTTCCCCTACCATTATACAAGCGGGGTGCCCCACCCTGTCAACAGAAACCTATGCCCCGTCTACCAAACCCCACCCCCAACCACCTGTCGGCACTGACGTAACGCTAAACTAGCGGCTCGCAATGCAGGTGCGCTAGCTAAAAAGCTAAAGGCAGCCTCTTCCTTCATGCTGAACCCTCACGCTGAACACACCCTCGCCACTCGAAAACTGTTGATACAAACAGCACACGGCTCAGATGTGCATCTATCTTTCCCCCCGCTCCCAAAAAAACTAAACTAAACTGTTGGTTCAGACAGCGCGCGGCTGAGATGCGTGTTTGTCTCTCTCCTCTCACACACCCTGGTCGAAAACTGTAAAACTGTCAGTGCAAATAGTGCGCGGCTGCCTCTGTGTCCCCCATCCCCCTCTAAAACTGTTGGTTTAAACAGCGCGCTGTGCAGCTTGGGACGAGTCCACCCCCCCAGACAAAAATCACGGACGAGATGAGCGCCCCGCCATGGCAAGTTATCTAGGGGAAACACTGTATATGTTATTAAAATTAGTAGGTTTAAGAATTTAGAACATAGTGGGCTTCGTCGCTGCAGGGTAGGTCTGCAGAAACGGAACAGAGTCGGACCAGAATCGAGAGCTGCTGCTGTTCTGCTGAGCTGGTAAGTAAAATTTTGTAGCTACATATATAGTACTGTAGGTATGTTGTTAAAATTATGTAGGTTTAAGAGTTTAGAACATTGCAAGATTGTGGGAAGGGTTTATAAAGCCTTAAAATATGTATAAATACTAAAATAAATAAATATAACGTTGTTACTTTGTGGATTTTCACTTATTGCTGGGGGGAGGGGGGTGTAACCTTGCAATAAATGAGGGACTATTGTAGCACTTTTTATCATATTTGTGACCTACATAGGTTAGGATGTGCAAATAGTAGGTAAAAAAGGACTAAAAATGTCTAGGGCTATTTGTTAAATTGTCCTTGAGACATTGAGAGTGCTTTAACGTGACCCCATTTACCAACAGTCTTGGTATTAAATACTTGACAGCATACTTGGTCTCATCGTAGGGCGTCTTGCAGATGCAGTACAGCTTTACATCCTTCTTGCTCTCCTTTGTGCTTGTTGTAGAGATCATCTTCTTCTTCTTGGACTTGGCTGCTGTAGCCATCTCGCTTTCCTCTTCCCGTTTCCTCTTGTGTGTGGAGGTGACGGTTGTGGTGAAGTGGTGCTTTGAAGAAACGTGTTTGTGGATCAGAGTTTGATGTTTCTGACTGTGGGCTGCCGCAGCTGCAGCCACCTGAGCTGCCTGGAGAGCTGCTGCATGAGCCTTTTCCTTCTCCCTTCGCATCCGCAACAGGTCCCTCTTTAACTCCTCCTGAGGAGTGTGACACAAGGACTAATCAGGTTACAGTCAGAGGTACTTTTATTAAATGTTTTAAATAAATATCCAGATTTGTCCTACTTTCCAAGCATCGCCTTTTATTACCTGAGCCTCCAGCTGCAGTTCCTTGTCAAGAAGCGCCCGCTTCTTCAGAATCTCCATCTTGAGGCTCTCTTTGTGTCTGTAAAGAAGCATTGAGAGCTTGCTAGCGTTAGCTAACCTCCTCTTGGCCTCCACAACCTCTTCCTTTTTTCTCCTCTTGGCCGCCTGCCTCTCATCTTTGTCTATTCGGTCCAGGATGTACTTCATCACTTGGTTGCACACAATCATCCTGCACAGATTTGAAAGAAAAAGTAATTACATCCATCTCATTTCTTGAAATATGAACTTCAGTTCAACTTCTGTTTAATGTGTGTTCTCGTTATAAGTAATCTGACACTGACAATGCAGATCGCAAAAACACCACACATAATAATAAAGTATACTGCAATATACTGTTCTGTCTGTAGAGAAAATCATGCATCGAAATCTAATGAAGGGCCCATTCAAAAAACGGTCTCTTTAGATATACATTGCATTTCAAGCAATGTACACATAATACTCCTAAATGGAGAAAAGAAAATAATTAGAAATTTCCAGGAGAAACTTTGTCTGGGACTGCCACGTGGCGGCCATTTTAAAATTATTTTGATTTGACAGTACAACGTGTTTGGGTTCGCTCTCACCATACCATTTCAGCTCAAAATAGCAAAATATCAATGAGTTAAAGTATTTTTTTTAGATATGGTGGCCATCTTGGATTTTTTTTGGATTCAGTATGTGATGGGGAACGTTCTCAGCTATAATCACACCAAATTTCAGCTTTATGTGTAAAAATAGCTGTGTTAAATCCATTTTAATGTATTTTTGGTGGCCATCTTGAATTTTTTAAATTATTAATTATTGGGCATTGCTCTCAGCTACTACACCAAATTTCAGCTTAATATATCTAAAAATGACACATTTACAATATTTTTCCTTTTTTAGCTCAGGTGGCTATCTTGGATATTTGACTTGCAACCAGAGTCTAAGAAAAATGACTAATAAAAATTGAGTCTTTGTTTGCAAATTATGTCATCATGGAAATTCAAAAGTCAATAAAAATAATAGCACACATCACGGTGCTGGGCTGGTCATTTTGAGATAACATTTGCAGGGGTACATGTTGCGGTTCAGGTCACATTAAAGTTGATGGAAGAATAAGATATAAAGTTAAGAAACCCTTGTCAGGTGGATAATAATAGGTTGCTGCCTAACTGTATATCAGGCAGTCCCTAATAAGAGGCACAAGAGAAAAACCATTATCACATATCTGATGCTAAAATTCAGAAATTCACTCCAATCAAGTCACAAATACTGACACGCAAACAATATGCCACCTAAAATCATTAAAGGTTAAATTTTCACAAGCAAAAACAGTCCGTCTGTGTTGATGTCCAATAAGACTTTTATAATTACTCAGTCTTGGGCACAATTGTGGCTTTGACCTCACATCTCATTCCTTTCTGGCTCAAAATTATTTCTCTCTCCTTCATCAACAAATCAAAAGTATAACATCTAAAAGCTACAGACAAAAGTTTTAAAGCCTGATATTAAAAGGGCAAAAGCATCGACTGACAACTGATTTTGTTTTTCCTCCTGTGAAGATTTTATTTAGGAAAAATCAAGAGTTTAATTCATGCCAGCACAGCATTTTTGGGTCTTAATGGGTTAAATGCAGAAAGATAGAAAGGAAGTAAGGTATGAGCAGGGTTCTGTAGTCCGTTTTGATTTATACTCTCTTGCAAATTAAATAAAGGCTAACAAAATGTTAGTGATTAAAAGAGAAAAAAAAATGAAGACAGATAAAATCTTCACTTTGAACAATTTCATAAGAGCAAATGTCAGCTTATGACAATAAATCCATACAATTTATGGGTCTCTGTTCCCAGTGTGTTCACTTGCGTTTGCTAATATTCACAAATAAGATCGAAAGTTGGTGCTCCGTTCAAGCATGCTTTAGTGCGAATAACACACAAACACACACGGTTGCTGAGGTCAAAAACAGGCCAGGGCTTCTACAGCGAACACACCGAGGTAAACACAGCAAATGCAGCATGAAAGTAGAGAAGACTGAAAAAAAAAAGAAAACTGCACACGGCAAGGTGATGTCAATGTTCTGCATTATTACAAACAAAAAGATGTTTTGAAGGAAAAGAGGGAGGAAACGGATGACATTAAGGCATGGAAAAACGCATGAAATAATAAGCAGAACAGGACTACAGGCAGCTGGTTTAGTGATGTCACGGTACTCAGGAGTTGGTGTTTCAGGTCTGTGTGAATGAAAACAGTGTTGACACAATGTCTGTGGACATAAACATATGGCTGTCAAGGTCACCTATTGGTCAGAGTTAAATCCATCTACTGCCTATAACACCAGCAGGAAAAAAGACAAATTTTTTTTAACACCCAACTTCAGAAAGCATTTTATAGTTGTCAAAATTTGACTTAAAACAACAACAAAACTATTTAGTGCCTTTTAGAATAAAAAAGTTATAAAGTACTACACACAAAAAGCACAAAATCTTCAAGTTGAAATACAAATGGATTAAAAAAAAAAAAAAACACATAAAAACACAAACTTTTTTTATTCGTCCTTTCACCAGGACAAGAGTATTTTTTTCTAGATTTAGTAGCTGCTTTTGTGCTGAAATAAATGTTTATTATAAGAAAGATGTCTTAAAAGCACGAGAATCGTTAGTAAAAAGTGATTATTAGTCAAGATTATTTGTTTTGCTTTAAAGTTAATGCATGCCAACTAATGAAGCATTTTTTGAACAACCAAGTTTAAAAAAAAAAAAAAAAGGTTTATATCAGGGCTATTCAACTGGCGGCTTGCGGGCCAGAACCCGGCCCACTTCATAAAAAAGAAAAAGAAAAATTTTTTTTTTGGGAGGGGTTCTGGGTTTGGGTTCTGTTTATTCCATTTATAATTCAATGCAATTAAATAAACAAATTTAAAAGGTAACAGATCATTGTAAAACTTGGTTTGTTTTCATAATGACTTTAATCACTGGATGTCCGGCCCCCGAGCTGTTGGCTTTCAGAAATTGTGGCCCCCTGAGCTTAAATTAAAATATATATATCGTAGGGTCATAAACAAAACATAACTATCAAAGTTAGAAACTCAAAGCATTTTAAGCAGTTTGGCACCCTTCTACATTGTGTTAGACGAAAGACAAAAACAGGACAAGACTGCCCAGCAGTGCAGAGCATAAGGACATGAACACTTATAGAGGTTTGATTTAAAAATAAAAACGATGTCCCCTCACATGGATGAAACAGATTTTCTGTGTTGGTACTTGTTCCAAAAACTTGCTGCCACCAGACAGAAGGATGACTCACCTTCTTAACGATCCACAACATAAACTTCTTGACTTCCTAAATGACACCTTTATGTAAACATCCAACACTTTCACAAACGCAGAAGGAAAACTCTGAACACAAACCTCTGATTTTCTTCTCTTTCTGCAGGAGTTATAGTCTTCTTCTGCTTAAGGTGCTCGATCACAGCATTTTGTTTCATAACCACCTAAAAGAAAAACAAAACAAATCAAAAAAGGGAGATATAAGCGGAAACTGATTTTCTTAATAACATATGATTTATTTTGCATGTAGAGTCTGAGATAAAATTGTTACACTGCTGAAAATTGCACACCATTCAGAAAAGCAAAAATGATGTTCTCTCGATAAATGGAAAGAGCTAGCTTAAAAGGATTTTTTAAAGGAATATATAGTAGCAACATTCTATCAAACATATAAAAGAGCTCTTGCGGGACATAAATTAAGATTAGTCACTAAATAAATAAGACTGCAACAGTTTTCATTCTCCAGCAGGTTCAGAAAAAAATCAATAGCAGATACTGGATGTTTGTGGACTTGGGAAAAGGATTTCGACAGAGTCCTGCGAGAGGTGGTTTACTGGAGCCTCAGACAAAAAGGAATTATGGAAAAGCTAGTTCGGATTGTTGGTTCCATGTACGAAACAGACAGAACTGGCAAAGACAACACAACAGCATTTGAGATTAAAGTTGGCGTTCATCAGGGTTCACGTTTCAGCCCACTGTTGTTTATTGTTGTGATGGATGCAGCAACTGAGCTTATTAGGAGAGAAGTGCCATGGAATATGTTATATACAGATGACCTAGTTGTGGCTGGAGACTCTGAAGTTAATCTCCAAGATGGTTTCAGCAGGCACATGAGAGTAAACGTCTGAAAATAAACGCAGCAAAAACAGAGAACATGACCTGCTCGAAAGCTAACGAGACCTTAACAATTACTGATAATAGAGGAAATGTACTGAAGCAGGTCGAAACGTTAAAGTATCTGGGGTCAGTGATAAATGTCAAAGGAAGCTGTGCAGAAGATGTTGGAGGAAAAAGGATGCCGATTCATATTAAAGGGAAAGTGTACAAGATGATGCCCAGTCTTGCTTTGTGGAGCTGAGGAATGGGCATTAAAGAGAAAGGAAGAGGAACTCCTGGAAAGAACAGAAATGTGGATGCTACGTGGGAATCTTGGGAGTATTATTCAAGAATAGACGGAAAAAATGACAATATCAGAAAAATGTTTGGCATGGGATGCATCAGTTAAGTGCATAAGATACAGGAATCAAGAAAGATGGTATGGGCATGTGCAGCGAACGGAAGATGACAAGGTAAAAAGGCTATTAAACGTAGACGTTTTTGGTCAACAAAGTAGGGGACGGCAGAAGAAGAGGTGCATGGATATGATCCAGCGGGATATGAAGACACTATTTCACAGACGATACACGAAACAGAGCAAAATGGAGGAGAATCCATGTGGCTGACCCTGCTCCGAACAGAGCGGGACCTACAGCCTGAAGGAGAGAGAAATAAGACTGCAACAGAGATCAAAAATTATTATTAACTAAATATTGGGGGGGGGGGGGGGGGGAATCAACTAAATACAAACAAACTTTATTGGATGTCAAAGATACAGAGACAAATTCCATCATATAAGCACAGTAGTGTTTGGAATTTTTAAAACATCTAAACAGAGAAAAGGGCAAACAGCATTCGTGTGACAGCAGGGAGGGTGGGAGCAGATTGAAGTGATGGCTTGGATTTGATCGTTTTTTGCACATACACACCTGTTTCTGAATAACGTCGCTCTGGTTGACTGCGTTGAGGGCGAGCTCTCGCTTTGCTTCGGCCGCTTGTTTCTTCCTCTGCTGCTGCTGCTCTCTTAATTGCTGGATCTTCTGCAGTTGCTCTTGGACAGATGCTGCCTGGATGGTAACTACATTTCCAATCTGGACATAGGTTCAAATGTGGAAATCAATCTATGGCAAAGTCCATGCTCAATAATCCAGGTGTACAATCCAACATTTTTCAGTCAGGTCATCTGGACAGTTTCTTTTTTTTGTGCTGAAATGTTTCGCCTTCAATCCGGAAGGCTTCATCAGTCAATCTAAATCAATCAAATCATCAAATAAATCTATGCTTTGAACCTAGGTGGAGTTTGTTTAATTTAGTTTTGGTTAGCATGACACAGAAGCTGGGCTCAATAAGTCTTGATATTGGAGAAGAAAACATTACATTTAGTCACGTCCAAGGGTTAGTGATATTAAAAAACACAAAATTTAAACTGCATTTGTTCCTATTTTGCAAGCTCAAAGCTTCTTAGAAAAGTCCTATAAAGATATCATCTGTTAAGCTCAAGTAAAGCAGGTTTTGATCCAGTACCTGTCCCCCCTGAGCTGAAGTGGTTCCACTCTGTTGTATCTGGATGGGAAGCTGTAGTTTGATGTGCTGTGGCAGAGAACCTCCACCCTGTTGAGTCTGTAGCTGTGCCAGAACCTAAAACACAAAAATGTAATATATTTTTAACAATAATTATAATAACCGGTTCTGTTTATACACTCATAATGGCTGAGTTTCGGACCAACATAAGCAAAATTAAGTGAGGGTCTGGTTAAAACCTCTGCAGTCATACCTGTACCTGTTGCTGTAGTCCAGACATGCTGATGATCTGGGGGTTCTGCTGTAGCTGCAGCTGGGATGTTCCCCCCTGAGCTTTGACCTGCAGTGAAGTGGGAGACTGAATGGGCATATGGGCCTGCGTCAGAGTGGGTAACTGGCTCTGATGAGTAGCTGATGACTGGGTGCTAGCAATGGACAGTGGAGATGTCCCTGCCTGGACTGGAGCAACAGTCTGCTGTCCAGGCTGCGTTGGGGCTTTGTTGGGGTTGGAGATGGACTGGCTGGAAGTTGTAGCGGCTGGATCAAGATTAAGCAAAGTGAATTGTCAGAAAATCATCAAAAATAATGACAGCAAGAACTTTTAAACTATCACAGTTCTAGATTTTGCAACAGGTTGAAAATTGTAATTTTCCATAAATTATTGACACCAAGAACTCAAAGGACACATAAATAAAAAGTTGTCTTTTTCCTTATACAAACGCTGACACTTTGTTTTTGCCAAACCTGTGCTTGATGCAGGTGTAGCTGCAGCGGCTAGAGGGGTGAAGAGGAACCGCTGCACCTGGCCATTGGGCAGTGCTGCCTGCATGAGTTGTTGGCCAGGTCCTGGAATGACGGTGACCCCTTGAGGTATAAGCTGCAGCTGGCCGGTGGTCTGACCCTGGCCTTGAACCATCACAGTCAAAGCCTGTGGAGGACTACCAACACCAGCCAGTCGGTCCGAACTAGCCTGCTGCTTCTGTCGGAAGAGGACAGAAAAAAAGACTTGCCGATCACATACAACTCCACTCTAATCTTAGTTGTGCCTGAGAAAGTTTGATCGGCTCCGTTTAATTGTCATAATCACACCCATTTCAGTAATCATTTTGTTCTTATTACACCTCACTTCACATAACTAATGCACATACAGTATACTAAATAAAACATATTTGCATACCTCAAATGGATTTTCAATATATATTTCTGAAATAGATTTGAAAGGTGCTCATATCTAAATTTTTAGGGTAACCCAGACCATCCCAAGTTTCTCCAGCACCAACCTGAGTGAGCTGTGTCAGCTGGGCCATAGTGAGTTTAACCTGGCCTTGGCCCGGCGGCCGTGGCACGCCAGGAGGTGTTTGGACTGCTGCGTTGGGACTGGCAACACCCTGACAAGTTCCTGCGGTGACAGGACTGGCAGCAGATATTGCCGTGGAAACTGGCTGGCCACGGATTATCTGTGTCACTACCTGCTGTCCACTCTGACCTGTGGGGGAAAAATAAAACATAAGGAATCAGGTAAAACCTGTGGGCACACAGTGGGTCACTTTTCCACTGATACAAGGACTGTTGTACAGGTCCTTCTCAAAAAATTAGCATATTGTGATAAAGGTCATTATTTTCCACAATGTAATGATAAAAATGAAACTTTCATATATTTCAGATTCATTGCACACCAACTGAAATATTTCAGGTCTTTAATTGTTTTAATACTGATTATGGCATACAGCTCATGAAAACCCAAAATGCCTGTCCCAAAAAATTAGCATATCATGAAAAGGTTCTCTAAACAAGCTATTAACCTAACCATCTGAATCAACGACGTAACTCTAAACACCTGCAAACGATTCCTGAGGCTTTTAAAAACTCCCAGCCTTGTTCATTACTCAAAACCCCAATCATGGGTAAGACTGCCGACCAGACTGCTGTCCAGAAGGTCATCATTGACACCCTCAAGCAAGAGGTAAGACACAGAAATAAATTGCTGAACGAATAGGCTGTTCCCAGAGTGCTGTATCAAGGCACCTCAGTGGGAAGTCTGTGGGAAGGGAAAAGTGTGGCAGAAAACGCTGCACAACGAGAAGAGGTGACCGGACCCTGAGGAGGATTGTGAAGAAGGGTCGATTCCAGAGCCACCATGCACAGGCATGTGCAGGAATTAGGCTACAGGTGCCGCATTCCCCAGGTCAAGCCACTTTTGAACCAGAAACAGCGGCAGAAGCGCCTGACCTGGGCTACAGAGAAGCAGCATTGGACTGTTGCTCAGTGGTCCAAAGTACTTTTTTCGGATGAAAGCAAATTTTGCATGTCATTCGGAAATCAAGGTGCCAGAGTCTGGAGGAAGACTGGGGAGAAGGAAATGCCAAAATGCCAGAAGTCCAGTGTGAAGCACCCACAGTCAGTGATGGTCTGGGGTGCCATGTCAGCTGCTGGTGTTGGTCCACTGTGTTTTATCAAGGGCAGGGTCAATGCAGCTAGCTATCAGGAGATTTTGGAGCACTTCATGCTTCCATCTGCTGAAAAGCTTTATGGAGATGAAGATTTCATTTTTCAGCACGACCTGGCACCTGCTCACAGTGCCAAAACCACTGGTAAATGGTTTACTGACCATGGTATTACTGTGCTCAATTGGCCTGCCAACTCTCCTGATCTGAACCCCATAGAGAACCTGTGGGATATTGTGAAGAGAAAGTTGAGAGACGCAAGACCCAACACTCTGGATGAGCTTAAGGCCGCTATCGAAGCATCCTGGGCCTCCATAACACCTCAGCAGTGCCACAGGCTGATTGCCTCCATGCCACGCCGCATTGAAGCAGTCATTCATGCAAAAGGATTCCCGACCAAGTATTGAGTACATAACTGAATATGATTATTTGAAGGTTGGTGTTTTTTGTATTAAAAACACTTGTCTTTTATTGGTGGGATGAAATATACTAATTTTTTGGGACAGGCATTTTGGGTTTTCATGAGCTGTATGCCATAATCATCAGTATTAAAACAATTAAAGACCTGAAATATTTCAGTTGGTGTGCAATGAATCTGAAATATATGAAAGTTTCATTTTTATCATTACATTATGGAAAATAATGACCTTTATCACAATATGCTAATTTTATGAGAAGGACCTGTATATGTACGACTTTTACAGAGACATTACGTCTCAGTGTGTGTTAGCGGTGGCTAGGCCTGTCACGATAACACATTTTGCTGGGCGACTAATTGTCTCAGAAATTATTGTGATAAACAATAATATTGTTTGAAATTTAACAATATTTAATTGTCAAATTTTAGAAGAAATGTTGATTTGTTTGGAGTGTAGTACCTCTTTTGACCACTTGATGGCAGTATAAGACTGTTTGAACCAAAGCATGGCTAGTTGAGCAGCGCGTCTCAAAGAAAAATGGGAGGGAGGGCCCTTGACGTGACATGGGCTGACATGTTGACATGGCGGATGCTCGGTGATTTGAGCTCTTTAGCATAGCACAAAGTTTGTTTTCTCTTTAGCTTTTCTTTAGCTTTAGTTTTCTCTTTCTCTTCTCTTTAGCATAGCATTTTTAATACAAACATTAAAGTAAAAAAATCAGTAAACAAGTTCTCGGCTTCTTTTTGCAGAGAAAAACTATTTGTATACAAAAGCACAGGTTTCAACTGTGAAATTTGGAGCTCGACAAGACGGAGGCTTATTCCTGAGGTCGGCTTGTTAGCTTAGCTCGTAGCTTAGCTTCTCAGCTTAGCTGCTTTTAATGATCCAAAAACATGATTTTGGACGGTTAAAACAGATTTTAAAGAGAAAAGAGAAAGGGAGGGGTCAGAGAAAAGCACCAGAGTTGAGCCTTGTCTTCAGTAGAAAGAGAGACACGATAAAGCCGGTAAATGAAAATGAGGTTGATCATTTTCATTCATCATGCGATTAATTGATTTATTGGTTATTGCGACAGGCCTAGTGGTGTCTTTGTTGAACTAAGTAATCCAAACCTTATACTAAAACAAAATATGAGTTTGTTACCTTGCTGGACCACGAGGGGTGTACGAAGAATTGTCTTTCCAACTGCTCCCGTCTGCTGGATTGGGGTTCGTATCATTGTCATTCCTGGACGAATCTGACCATTACCTGCTAGAACCTGGAGGATATTTAAAAAAATAAAACAAAATAAAAAGTGCATAAAAATATTTTAAATGTAGGATCTACTTTCTAAGGTGTCAAGACTTCAAAAATAAAGTTTTGAGTATTTAAAACATGATTATTCAGAACAAACAGTTATGGCTAAGGTCATCTTGAGCAGTTAATAATTAAATTAGAATAGAAAACAATAGCGTAGACTAGAAAGAGGCTTTATTGATCCCCTGAGGGATATTGGTTAAACATGAAACACAAGAGTAAGAAATAATCACAGTAATGTAATCCCCCATCTCTACAACTGATCAATCACCTCTTCATACCTAAATACAAGGGATGCAACGACACGCCCAAGTCACAGTTCAGTATAAACATCTGTATGAGGATTACGGTTCAGAGCGGGTTTGAATGGAATGCAAGTAAACCTTAATGATTCTGGTGCAAGATATTCATGTAGGTAGGAGTTACACTGTGGACAAGAATACAGGTAGGTTTTAATGTTTTTGTTTGTCTGAGGTGGAGCAGAGTGACGGATTCTGGCGAATGGAGGGAGCAATTTTATCCATTACCAAGTGCAATGGCAGAGCCAGGGGGTGGCTATTGGTGGCCTTGGCAACAATAGATTAATTTTCGTCCACCCCAGTCATTTGAGGAAACTATACTTTAAAGCAATATAAAAACTAGAAAGCATAGTGGCTGGTTTACATATTTATATATGGCAGTAGCCATCTTGGACTTTGACATGGCAACCCAGTTTTTGATGGGGAACTTTCTTACATCTAGATGCAGCCACACATTCAAATGGAAGTTGGCACCTCACTTATTTTTCAAATTATCATGCTCACAATATGGATGGACGGAACCAGTATTTCTATTCCCCCACTCTTCGCTCTGCGATGTGACAACAATTGCCAAATGCAACTTTTTCCCCAAAATAAAATTCACTGTGAATAAAAATGAAAAATAAGTATTTTTTTCTAAATCCAAACTGTAAAGACTATCTCACAGACCATGAAATGTATCCAGAATACCAACAAAGTCCATGCTCAATAATCCAGGTATACAAGAATAGGTATCCAGAATAGGGCTGCAACTAACGATTATTTCAATAATCGATTCATCGGCCGATTATTTTTTCAATTAATCGATGAATCGGCAAAAAAAAAAAAAAAAAAAGTTTTAATTTCCACCCCTTTATTCCAAAATTGAACATTTGACTGACATAGCAATTCACACAAAAAACAGGTTGCTATTTTACTATTCTGTTAGTAAAATATTGAATAATAAAAAATAAAAGTTAGTCAAATAGCTTAAAAAAATAAATGTACACAAAAATATATACAAATGTGTCTTTATACCTGCACAGTATGTAGCTACTTTGTAAAATGTGTCATTGAGGGAAGAGTGTAACCTGGATTAAAAGTGTGGATTATTGTAACCTGGAATAAAAGTGGATTATTGTAGTGAAGCTTTCGTCTTCAACCATCGACAGAGGCCTCATGTCAGTGATGATCATTTAAGGATGTTTCAGTGAAGACAGCTGCTGCTGTGGTTTCCATGATGTCTGTCCATCATGAAGGATGTTGTTGTTGTTGTTGTTTTCTGGAATGAGACAGTAAATATGTTTTATAGTATAATTTACAGCAACTCAAGAAATGCCTTGTTTCACTGACTTAGGTTCAGGCAAAAGTAGCTAAAAGAGAAATTAAACACACACACACACATATATATAAAATACTTAATTACACACATTTGAGTAGATGTAATAAATTACTTTAATTCCTGTTTAAATGCAATTCATCCTGCCATACCTGCAGTGTCTTCAGACTTTGCCAGCAAATTAAAAGTTGAAGCTTAATCATTAAATTATTATCTTTGTGTTAGATTTATTTATACATCACATTTAAACACTGCTTGTTCCAATTAAATTAAATAAAAAGTAACACACGTTCTCTATCACCGTCATTAATCAGATAAACAAACAAACAGCAGCTTCATCTACAGACAGACTGACGTTACATTTTCTCTCTTGAAACAGAACAGTGTTAAATTGTAGAGACTCACCTGCAATACGAGTTGTATCTGCTGCAGCTCGTGACTCTGACATGTTTACGTTTTATCTCCGTGGTTCTCTCGTGTCGTGTCGGTGATTTTCAAAGCGGCATGCTTCTCATGTTTTATCTTTGTGAAGTTCTCCCGCACTTTGGAGGACTTGGGTCGAACAGTTTTCGCTGCGTCGGTCATTTGTAAAATTTACTTAATTTCCTTTAAAAACAGCCACTGCTCTCCTCCCCCCTCGCTCTGTTCAACTCGCGCTGCAGGTTTTTTATTTTCAAACTTTATTCAGTCAGTCAGCATTGACAATGAACTGCCCATGAACAAAAGGAAACGGCTCCGCAGCGCCGTGAAAGATGCATAATCGCGCGACACAACGAATCGATAATGAAATTTGTTGCCAACGCTTTTAATCATCAATTTTTATCGATTTTATCGATTCGTTGTTGCAGCCCTAATCCAGAATAGTATTTTCTTACGAAAATATTACCAAAAAACAAAAATAATAAAGCAAAATAACTGTTTTATTTAAGTTTCATTCTCAATTGAACAATTGAGCAACTGAACAACATTCTCAACAGTCATTTTCAATTAAACATTATCTGAGCGCTACAGTGAGAAAATGATAATTGATATAAAGGCCATTGAATAACTACTCATGCCACAGTACTTTACAAAGAATTGCTTATTTGGCACATTTGCTTGCCATACAGCACCTCCCATCTCTCTCCTGCAGCTGTTTGTGATCAGCGGCACTATTGACCTTTAAACAATTTCTAACGCGCATGCGTAAAATCAGGCACCAAATGGTTAATTAGGGTCATAGCTATTTCCAGTCAGCGTTCAACTCTATTGTTTTGGTCACTTACATGCATTTTTATTGACTTTTATTTACAGACCTATCTATATTTTGAACCAGCCATGCTTTATCTGGTGTAGTGTTTAAAAAGTATCTATCTCAGCTTCTTTTCAGTCATGGTTGTTAGCAAAATGCACCTAAACAAAACGTGTGCCTGCTCTGGGAGCGGTGATCCCTGTGACTGGTGTAATATTTGTCAGTTTAATGTACCCATCTAAAATGTTTCTACTGTACCATTATCATACCAATATATGCATTGTTACACCCCTACTATTATTATTGTTTAAATATATTCAGATTGTATACTAAAACTGTGAATAGAGAACAGACACAAGCTGCACAACATTATGAAAATGTGTTTGTGTTAATGGTTTCACAAAACTAAAAAGAAACAGAGGCTGTAATGTAAACAATAGAAAAGCATAAACAAAAATAGTTATACGGAACAAATGTTTTGACTCTAAAAGCCCAGAATTGTACCTGCTGTTGGGAGCCGGTAGTATTAGGCTTGATATTAAGCGTGGTAGTGCGTGGCTGGAATGTGGTGTAGGTTTGGGAACCACCTGCCGTACTGGACGGGATGATGCCCAACACTTTCTGCTGAACCACACCTGCAGCAAAAAAAAAGGACCATAAAAACCTGAATATTCAAGTGGAACTATGACAGAATTAAAGTCAAATATTGGTAAAAAGCTTGTGATGCCTAAATTAGTCAAGAATAAATCAAAACTGGGCAATAGATGAGAGAAAACTATCAAGAAAATGACACAAAAATGTGAAGAATAATTAAATTTTATTGTTTGAAAACCTATTTTCTCCAAACACGTGTTGCATGTATTAAATGCATAAAACCTTGTATGTGCCACAAAAAACCTCTAGGTGAAAAGCACATCCTGAGTTATTATACAGTTGTTCAGACAGTCTGTCAAAACTCAATGCCATCAGTTATTGGTAGGCGCCTCACTTTGCTGAAGGGCCAGCTTTTAATCATGGCGCTTGTAAATATTAGTCGAGCAGGTAAAAGAAAAGTCTTCAAAGACTGACTGAAAGCTTAGTTGGGTTTCCCCAACATACCCGAACTCCCACATAAATTATACATGAATTGCCATTCTACGCCTTAAAACTTGAATCTGACAAAGAGGGCATTTCATTTCACGTTTGCTCTCTGCCTTCATGAGCTCACGAGAAACTGATGAAGGAACTGGAAACCACAAGTGTGACTCTTTTTTTTTTTTTTTTTTTGGCAGCCTTCTTTCTAAGGTTTTGAAACCGTAACCAAGCAGGTAAACCTATACATCAAGGGCTTCCCTCTTCAAACGTAGAAGTTAAGCCGGCTTGTAGGGCCAGAGAGCTGCTGCTCTGGTCACACATCAAACACACTTTTCTATGAACTGGTTGTTTGAAGAGCTCAAGGAGTCAGGATTTTAGTGAGTGGAGAGGTACGCTTTTATTGAAAAGGACGGAGGGGGGAAATATAAAGAGAGACCTACTATAGAGGGCTACCTGTCTGGGAAGCAGACTGCAGGGTAAACTTGTTTTCCTACCTAACTTCCTTAAGTCGTTCCAAAACAAACAGCGCACCAAGCAGTCGCGCTGGATAAATACACGTCTATTAAATGGTTACACTCCACCTGAACTTAGATTCTCCTTCATGTTTACTTCAAAAGAAAGAAAAATCACTTCCTTTGTATCCCTGTTTAGTATGGATCTCTTCATTTGTTGACTGCAGATTCTTAAAATCAGTGCTATATCTTACTTTTGCCATCTTCACAATCCTTACATCTTGTTTAAAAATTGAGATTTTATTTTTTCTTACAATTTTCTAAACTTAAACCAAGTTAAACTGATGTTAGTTACAGCAGGAAATGGCCCGAACACAAACTGTCACAAGCCTCAATGAACTGAGTCCACATGATAAATTACTTCAGCAACATTTTTCTTCCAGTAATTTCACAAGCGGTGCTCTAAACAAACCTTTGTCTCATTTGAGGTAAGTCTACTCAAGCTAAATAAAGAGCATGTACAGGTAAATTAAAACAGATTAAGATAATTATAATTGTAATACATGTATAATAAAGCTGCAGCATCTGTGAGACTGACTGAACTTGTGTGTTAAATAAAGCCTGTATCCTTAAATTTTCTAATTGGTTGAGTTTTTAGTGGGGCAAAAAAAATGCATATTTATTTATGGAAAGTGGCATTAAAAGTGTAAATGGATTTGTCTAATTTATGCCAAATTTGAGTCATTCGAACAGAACTAACTAAAGATAAGTCTTCAGAGATCTGCGTGCATTTTTGGCACACGTAATTATTTACAAAGGTGTTTAGATAACGAGCTGGCTCTAACATGATTTCTCTGGCACATCTTAAATGCCCCAGGTGTGGGCTTGAGGTTAAGAAAAGAAAACAAATATAAACATATCCTGAAATGCATACTGAAAGAAACAAATGTCTCCACAGACAAAAAGCAATTTATACCCTCTCTCTCACTTTGAGATGTGACAATAAATCCAGTTATATATACCTCCTTGTGTCGTTGGCACATTAACTGTGACGATCTTGCTGTTGGCAGGTAGCGGCAGCTTTGTGGTCACAACCTTTCCACTGGCTGAGGTTCCTGTTATGTGTAATGTATGTCCACTAGATGTGGCCACGGTGGTCTCTGCGCCTGCTCCTAATAAAGTAAGCAAACACACAACAAGATAATAAAAATATACTGTTGCTACTATAAATCTAATGTGGTTACTCACTAAAAGTCTGACTAAAACCACCTTGGAACACAATTGTGTGCACAAATTAGTAAACTAAAACATTTCAAGATCAAACGACAACTGAGAAAAAGCAGCTAAACAAATGCCTCTTTATATATATATTTTTTTAGGTCAGCATGTCCCTAATTTTACCTTGTGAGCTTTGACCCTGTTTGACCCAGGTGGCAAAGGACTGCTGGAAGTTTTTGTTCTGCTGGAATGTGACGGGGGTGCACATCTTGGTGGACAGCACCACTTTGGCACTGGGAGTGCCCTGGCCTGAAATGGAGCCAACAATGACCTTTGGCGTGGCAGCAGGCGTTGCAGTACTTCCTGCTGGTGTAGCTGTGACTGACCCTGATTTCTGTTCAAGACGTTTCTGAGAAAGAAAAAAAAAGTCAACACAGAAATATATATTGATACAGATTTAAAATAAAAGTTAATTAATAATCTAGTTATTATTACCAGTAGTTAATTAATCTAGCTACCGAACAGTCACAAATGGTGTGCCACAAGGCTCAGTTTTAAGTCCCACACTTTTTACCATTTATATAAAAAATATAGGTCAAAACATTCCTAACGCATCTTTGCATCTCTGTGCTGACAACACTGTTGTTTATTGCCGAGCTAACACAGTTGCCAAAGTTTTCCAGCTTCTACAGTCTGCATTTGTCATCACTCTTTTTTTCCTCACTCGCTCTCGAGCAAGATGATGATTTTCTTCCCTCTCCTGCCTTCCTCCTGCTTTTTTGCTCTCTGTCCTGTGTATCGGAGCTTCTATTTACACATCTTTCGATAGTAAATTACTGTTATGGATTTGGTCAGCTGGATTTTCAATGCAATTGATTAAAAAAATGAAAATTTTCAACCAAGCGACAGGGTGCTGGAGAACCCTCATGCCCCCGTGGCTGGGTATGTCATGGATCCGTGGGGAGAGTGGAAAATGATGTGCCTTTCTGTGTTGTCTCAAGAGGATGTCGAAGATTTATACATCATTGGATTTATGATAGCAGGGTTTTTGCTTTTTGGCACTGGCGGATACTTATGTTATTGGCTATTACAAAAGACGGCGGCAGCAGTTACAGCCATGGAAAAGCTGCTGACCTTATGTGAAGGATTAATTTGTGCTCGTAGCTCTGAGACTCAGCTGATTTATGAGCTCAACCGTAAGATGGAAGTGATTTATGAGAATCGTAGGTCACTTGTGGCTTCTGAAACTCGCCAGCATGTTGGAGACAACCTTGGAGAAGGCTTTTAAGCATGGACCAGCGGAAAGCCCAAAAATCTGGCCGTTTTGGATCATCGAGAGTACCAGCAGAACTCAAGGCTGACGAGAAAAATAGTTTGCCTGCACAAAAACCAACTGTGGCTTATCTGAATCTGGCCTCCCTGTTTGGCCTTGAATAGGCCAACGTATCAAACTGCTCCTGGGGGTGTGTAAACTAAGAAGGCTCTGCTCTATCTACCCCCCCCCCCCCCCCCACCACCCCCGAGAACTTCTGTGAATGCTTATAAGAGCTATACTGGCTGACACATTAACATCTTATCAGGACTATGGTGCTATCTGGAAGTGCTTCATGGACAAATCTCACCGTCTTGTCATCAAATGCATATGTAATGTGTCTATAAATGTGCTTGCTGGTATATTTTTTGATGTCTTAAATCATGTCCTGATAAGGACAAGGTGTGAAGAGATCTTTTTTTTAATACCACTATTCCATGGTCCCTTTTTCTATCTGAAGAATAAGGGGCTGCACTCCTAGGAGCTGCAGCCACGTACACTCCGCCCATTTTTCGGACGACTGTATGGAATATAATATCGCTATACTTCGGTGCAATGATAATAAAGCTTAATCCGATTCTGATTCAGTCAGACGTATTCCATCTCAAGCTGGTGTTAAATGTTGGAATAAAACAAAGGGCTGTTGTTTTCCAACAGAAAGTCAGTACCAGCAACTCTTCCTGCTATCTCATCCATGCATCGTGTTCCTATTGAGTTTGTAGATTCTTATAAATACTTGGGAATTTTGGTTGATGCACATCTCTTTTAAACCACATAAAAACTTGATAAAGAAACAGAAATTAAAACTGGGGTTCTTTTTCAGAAATAGATCTTGCTTAACTCTGAATGCCAGAAAACACCTTGTAACCGCTACCTTCCTACCGGCCATTGACTATGGTGACATTATTTACGTGAATGTCTCTGTCAGCTCCTTGCAGATGTTGGATGTCGTCTACCATGGCAGGCTAAGATTCATAACTGGTTGTAACTACCGTATCCATCACTGCACTCTGTACCCCTTGGTCAGTTGGTCATCATTATACACGTAGGCTCTCACACTGGTTCATTTTCATCTATAAATCCCTCCTTGGTCTGCTACCTTCTTATACAGTATCTCCTCCCACATGTCACAACATCAGTGCAGTTACATCATGCGCTCTCGGGCCATCATTACCTGCAGCGTTCCCTCAGTGCGGACTGAACTTGGCAAAAAGGCCTTTTCCTACTCTGCTCCTGCATTATTGTTATTGTTTATTGTTATGGTTGTCTGTACTTTAGATGTTCTGTTTGGAGCAGGTCCCTCTTGTAAATGAGTCCTTGTGGATCAATGTGACTAGCCTGTATACTGGTAAATAAAGGGTGAATGAAAAAAACAATCAACTACCGGTACTATAAACACAAGTAATTAGCTATCTATTAATTCATAAGTTTCTGTAGAAAAACATTAATTCCACCCACAAATGTCTTGAATTAATCAAGGGCTTACTTACATAATTTTTACAGAATCAGCACATATAAACGTAAGAAAAGCAAACTTACTTTTGCCTGCTCTGCTGCTTGAGCTTTCTCTTTCTCCACCCTGGACAATAAACAAAGGATTTTTAATATTTGTAATACATCAGAAAACCTAAAACATGTTTTTTCATATGTATGTGAAAAACAGATTTTCTTTTTTTTAGTCATCTAGGTAGATTGATGATATTTCCAGCATGAATTGAAAATAATTAATTAATGAAGTTACTTTAAGAAATATAATAGCAAATAAAAATTTAGCATAATGAGGTGATTTTTCAGCAGCAGAGACAGCATTTCATGTTCAACCAATTTCCCACGAGGATCAATAAAGTATATTTCTATTCTACTCTACTGTTTTCTATTCTATTTTAATTATTAACTGCTCGAACAGTTGCAACAAAGCTGGTGTGTGGTAATTACATGTTCCCTGAGACCCCCTGACCTTTCTGAGAAAGCTCGTATCTCCCAAAGGTCCAGCTCCTCTTCAGGAATCCACGTCTCTATCACCACTGGACCCGTCTGTTTGGTGGGTTCGGGCTTCTTAGGGCGCAGGGCACTGGAGCGCAGACCTTTTCTCTGGGGAGTGTGCGTTTCTGAGATTTTCGACAAGTGTACAGAAAAGTAAACTGATGAAACCAAGTTTACAAGACAATACAGTAAACATGATCAAGCTTTTTATATTACACAACCTCCAGCAATTTTTTTCCAGTGCAGCATTTATGTACATTTTTAGAAAGGACAAAAGAAAATGTTTAACTCAAAAATGAAATGTGCGTTTTACCTTTTGGAGTCTCAGGAACTCCCAGGGGGCAGATGATTTTGCGGATACAATATTCGGAGCGAAGACCATAAGGTCCCACATCTCGTCGTTTTATGATCTCGGTGGTGGTGATTTCAGTATCTGATGTTTCTGTAGCAATGAGTGGGGATAGGGCTGGGTTGGTACAGTGATGAGGAGAGCCCGAAGAAAAATTGGAGGGAATGCACTCTTAACTTGTAAAAAGTGACACCCAAAAGAGACTGGGAGCAACCATTTTGCTCTGTAATAATCTTTAAGTTAAACCAGGGACATGAAAAAAGTATACTAGAACAAATAGAGTTGAAAAAAGTTTTCTTCTCTTTTTGCAACATTGGTAAGACAATAATGAATCTAACAAGGTTAAGTCAAGTCCTCTGGATGGATTCTTCTTGTTCAAACATTTCGTCTTTTATCCAAAAAACTTGTGTCGGAGGAGCTGCAACAAACTCAGTCTTATAAGCAGCACCTCCTCATAGTACATCAACCAGTTGGCTGGTTACATCCAGATCTAGCTGTTCGCATGTAAAAGGAAGACCATCAGCCTTACAATTGGTCGTTGGTGCCCTGATGGCCACTTGCTATTCACAGAGGGCTGAGTGATGCAATAATAGCATTGTAAGAGGACAGTTGAACTAGAATTGCACTCGGGTCCACAAAATCCAACCCGACCCAGCCCCAGCCATCATCTCCGAACCCCACCCGATCCAACGAATTAACAGTAATTACAGGTCCGAACCTGACCCCCCCCCCCCCCGACATTTTCAATTAAGCTTTAACTGCTTATACCACCGACTATTATTGACGGATGGCGGATGCGCGGCTAAGTAAAGGGGACAGAAGATCGGAGCTGAGGAGCCGTCAAAGCGCATTAAATGCTTCCCCTGCTTCTCCCTGTATCCTGCTCTGACATGTCAGATATTTTGTGATCTCACCTGTTTGGGTTGTCAGCTGTGCACGTCCACTGAGTGCAGCGGCTGAATGAACGTCCATTTGGGCTGATGGATTGCTGGCAGTAGTCCATCTGAAGGTTAACTGAACATTTTATCTCTTTCAACCGGCCAGTCAGCGCGCAGTCAAATGGCCGCATGCAGCAGGTGATAGTATGGCAAGCCATGTTTGCATATAATTGGATCGTCGGCTGCGCCTGACGTAATAAACAGCCCGACACCGATCCGGCCTGCATATTAAGCACATTATTATGGTCCAGCCCGGTCCGAATCCAGGTTGGGCGGGGCTGGGCTCCGAGTTCGGGTTAGAAATGACAGCTCTAAGTTGAACATGGAAACCTCACGGAGACCACCCTCTAATAATGCTGTTATTGCAAGTATCACTCAGCCCTCTGTTGTTGTTTATTTGTCTTATGCAGGTTAACACAAGGTCAACAGTGCAATGAAATGTTCACGAATGAGAAGAACCGATTTGACTTGCTAAAAAACAAAACAAAACAACAAACAAGAAATACTAAAAGCATGCAATAAGGGTACAAAATAATGTACCAAAAATGTAAAAAATATAATAGTTAAAAGGTCCAAAGAAAAAAGTAAACAACAACATGGTAGAATACTGTATAACAGTGCAAGTAGGATTAATTAGTATAAATAAGTATTCACCGGTAGTAATATAAGCTTAAATGCACATGATATATATTGCACATAACTATGTGGCACATAACTATGGGGAAGTTGTGGCTGAGTGGTTAGAGCAGTCATCCTCCAATGCAAGAGTTGGGGGTTCGATTCTGCCAGCAGTCACATGCTAGTGTCCCTGGCCAAGACACTGAACCCCTCATTGCCACTGATGTGTGTCCCATTGGTTTATGGATGTGATAAAGCACTGATTATTCTTTGTATAGATCTAGTAGAGGGATGTATGAATGGGTAAATGAGGACACAGATTGTAGCGTAAAGTGCTTTGAGTATCTTGATCAGATAGAAAGTGCTATGTAAGTACAGTCCATTTACCATTTACCATAACTAACATAGTACAAAGGTTGTGTGACAGGTTATTGCACAGTGAATAGCAAGCGGCCATCAGAGCACCAACAAGCAATCGGTAGGCTGATGATCCTCCTTTTACATGTGAACAGTTAGCTCTGGATGTCACCATCAAACTGGTCGACCCACTATGAGAAGGTGCTGCTTATAAGACTGAGTTTGTTGCAGCTCCTCAGACTGAAAAATTATGTTGGATAAAAGATTAACCCTTTCAACAAACAAGAATCTGTCCAGAGGACCTTATTAGATTTTTCTAAGTGGATTATTGAGCATGCATCAGGACAATGATGAATCAGTTCTCCATAAATGTTGCAATTTGTATACAACATATATTGACAACAGCTGACTTATGACAGTTCTTTACAACTTGTTTCTTTCACCCCCAGATAGAAAAACTTCATCACCAAATGGTTTGAAGGGTGTTGTAATACCTGTGCGTGTTGTGCCAACAGCAGCAGACGGTTTCACAGCCATGTCGTCCCATCTCAGACAAGCCCACAAAAGTCTCAGCATGAGGCTCACTCCAGCCAGAGACTTCACCGTCTGCAACCGGTACCTGGAGGAAGTTTTAGTAATAAATAGGAGCAAGTAAACATTTCCAGATCTCCAAATGACTATTGTAATGGTTTCTGCTATTCACCAGTGTGGTAATTACTCCCTCAGAGTTACAGAAAACAAACTGCAGCACAATCATGGGACAGGAAGAGGTAGATCAAAACAGACTCGGATTATTGGCCAAGTTGTAGTCCTTCTTGACCATTTCCAGGAAACCAACAGAATAAGCTGCTTTCATTTAAAATAAATCATTTTGTGCACTGGTCTGGGTGTGGGAACAATATCATTGCTTGCTAAAAGCAAATTAAACACAACTTCATTTTTTTCAAAATACAGTAAATGGAGGTCATCTGTCAGTGAATTTTCTATTTTTTTTAAAAAAGGTGTGCACGCTAGCCCACAAACATACATCTGTACATATATAGCTAGGAATGCTTTTCTGACAAGGAATTTGGCCCTGAAAATGGTTATTTAACACATCTTGAACATCTATAAAATCATGATTATCACTAAGCTGCAAGTGTGAGTTGGTAGGTGTTCACTTTCCCATAAATAACCACAGACGGAAAACTATGCACAGGCTGCAGGGCTTGGTCAGTACAAAGGGAACATCGTGACACCTCTCTGGCCACTGAATGATTCATGTCTACTGTCGGACTCTGAGGTCTGGTCAAAATAACCAAAGGTCCCTGTGTGACACCAGACTGGGAGCTTTAGCGTCACTCTGGGCCAAAGCCACAAATGGCAGACTGGAGGGGCAAGACATGAATGACAAATTAACACAGGATGTGTCACTGTGACAAGAGGAGATTAAAAGTTGAATTAAATAATAAAAAAAAACATTACACATAAAACCATATTTTTTTGCCTTAAAATATAACAAATGTTGCTATCAAGATAATGTAGGATTGTTAAACGTTCATAGAGAAAATAAAAGTAAAGACGGGGCATACCGTGTATTGGAGAACTCCTGTGGTAACAAAAAGGTTTTGTCTATTTATTTTTTTTCTTTAGCACAGCATAATGTTGATTTGGTGTTAAAATTATTTGGGCTGTTTCGGGCTGGATGGATGGAACATGGAATGAGGAAGAAGTTGGGTAGTTCCTGTTGAAAAGGGTGATCAGGACAAACAGCACTCTTCTATCCACCATTGCTACCTTGTTCATCTGCTCGTACAGAAACACTGACTGCAACCATCTATGAAGCGGATCCATGTTCAGGCTGCTATTTAATATACCGTATTATTTTACATTATTAGTGTTTAGCGTATAGCTTAGATCTTTTAGCATATCGTTGAGCATATATCTTAGATCCTTACATACAGTTTCTTCTTATACTTTATATTTTTGCTATTTTTGGGTGTAACTGGGATCTTGAGGACACAATTTAATTCCACCTCATGTACCACATGTGATGTGAATGACAATAAAGAATCTTGAACCTAAAAAATAGACAAGAAATCAGATGCAAGAGGTACTGCATGTTGTGACTGATGTGATGTTGCAGTAAGCTTCAGTTTCTCAGTCTAATCCAGTACTTACTTACTGTCTAAGACCCGGTATCAATAAAACAAAGCAATGCTAAATTTAAGGCTTAAATACTACAAACCAAACTGTAAGCTCACTTTTTTTAATGATCAATTCCATTTTTCTAGAAAATTAAAACCTTTTTACATATCTAGCCTAATAAAAGACAAAACAATGATTTTTCTCCTAAAAAATGTTTTGTCTAAATTGTTTTTCTGCTACAACTGACCTAATAAATCTAGTATAAAATAATAAATGTAAGACAAATTTGAGAAAAATTTGTGCAATCTGTTGAAAACAAAGGACACATTGCCAAAACCAAAACCAAAAACATTTTGTCAAGTTGGATAAGTCCTAGTTATACTAGCATGTTTTTCTTTTTCTTTTTCACAAGATACTTTGGAAGATGTTTTTCTGCTCTAAAATATATTTAAAATAAATCACATTACATATGCCAAATAGTAACCCTTGACTTATCAGTTATAAAGTAAATTCAAATGTAATTAAAATCAACAAGGTACCAATTTTTACAAAGTTAATAAGAACAGCCTGCTAACCTATGGTACAAATCCTAAAACCAATTTATAAAAATGCATCAAAATTTGCATTAGAATGTGAAGTATTGAAAACGTATTTTGTGCAACTTTGTCAGTTGATTGACCTTCATATCAGTTATTCTAAAAACTGGGGTCCCCCGGGTGTTCATAATCCGGTGCCTGGGGGTCCGCAAAAAAAAAAAAAAAAGTTTACAAGCACGTAGATGTTTAACAACCTGTTAAAATACACCAAAATGCAGGAAATTACATCTACTTTATTCAAAATGTTCTGGGGGAGGACCCTCAGACACACCGCACCACCTGCTATTTGTGCTCCGGCATCGATCGGTTTACAAATGAAGCCCTGTTACTTGGTATGACTCCTGCTGTTATGATTCTGTTCAGTTTTATGTTAAGAGCTTTCAGTAATAATTTGAAGAAGTGGCAATACATTTATTATGTTCATCGTGTGAATAGGTTTAAACGTTTTAAAGTGGTTTTTGATTATGTTCATTTTCTAAAAACTGTCATTTTTGGAAGTTGAAATAAAATGTTTTGTTAATTGTGTCTTGAATGAAAAAATACCCTATGTTTAAAAGTATAAAAATTGTATTAACACTATTAAAGAACAGGTCTTAATGTTACACAAATATTTCCATTGCATTAAAGAGGCAAATTGAAGAAAATTATTTAATAAACACATGATGGGGTCCCCTGACACTTTTTCTCCCCTAGGGGTCCCTGAACCCAAAAAGTTTGAGAACCCCTGTGTCAGATGATGCAAAGAGGGTTTTTTACCGTTTTGAATGATTTGAGACGTCACAAGAAAAATACAGCTAATAATGTTCAAACAGAGAACACGAGAAACACAAATGGTGAATTTACCTCCAAGTGATACCAAATGTAGGTCTGGGCGAGGGGTACGGCCAGATATCCTGAGCAGGTTTGGCATTGTAACTAAATACAGGAACTTCTCGGAATCCGCCTCGCCTCGCCAGCACTTTCACGTCGTCGTAGGGCAGCACGAAAATGCTCCTCCGGCTGCTCTTGGTGACAAACTTTCGGTAAGAAGGAAGAGCTGTGTCAGAGCGCGTTTTCTTTGTGCGAGAGAATTTGAGAAGTCGCACACAGCCCTTTGTCGACGAGTCTTCCTGGCTCACGGCGATAGACGAGACTGTAGTTTTACCACCAGTGACTGTTGTTGACTCACAAATAGAGGCAGACTGTGTTGTTTCCTGTTCCTGCATCACTACTTCACTCTGGCTGTCTTCTGACTGACTATCGAGTTCGGAGGAAGAGATTTTGGTCACTGTAGTTTTGGTCATGGTAGAGAGGGTAGAGACTGCGCTGCTCTCCGTCGCCAACACAGGTTTCGTCGATTCACCGGATGCTTTCAGCTGCATTCTGGATACCCTCGTCTCAGTGGAGACAACCGTTGCGGTGGAGGTCGTGGTTACCTGGGTAATGATGGTCTTGAACTGTTCAGTTGACCCACTGTTACTGTTTTCCTCTGCAAAGTCGTCACTCAGACTGGACTCCTCTGCTGAAGGAATAGGAGAGGGAGCCATTCTTATGACCTTGGCCACAGGAGTGGGTTTCGTCTCCACAGCATTAAAAGCTGAGGTGCTGTTGTTCTGCAAAAGGCTCAGAGTATTAGCTCCAACTGGATCCATGTTGTTTTCAAGCCTTGACATCTTAAGAGGGGGTTTGTAGTCCTGGTCCGACATTATTGCCTGTTCCTCTACCTCAGAGTCTAAACATGGATCTTTATTTACCAACCTGTTATTTACAGGGGTCAGATCTCCATTTAATAAAGTTTTCAGCTGGGTGCTATCTTTCAGTGACAGAGCCAGTTTTTGTTCTTCAACTTTACCAATGCTATTCAACTTGGGACCGTCTGTGAACACGCCATTATTCAAGTTCATTACAGAGTTACTCACAATGCTTTTACCTTCCAAACCATCGTTACCATTTACTTGAAGAGAAACTGGTTTGGTAGTGCCATCAGACACAGTTCCATTGTATCCAACATTCTGCATGCAGTCTTGTTTCTCCTCTGGCCCCAAGCCATTTTCCTCCGTGCCAGAACGCACAGAGCTTCCACTTTCTAGATTTTGCTCAACGGGCTTAAAATGAGATGTGGTCGGACTGTGTTTTTGGTCGAGAATACTACAAAGCGTCCTTACAGAGTCAGAGTCTACATTTTCAGGGTGTTCAGCCTTGGTTACATTTGATGCAATGCAGGCTGTTTGTTGCTCTAATGAGCTTTGAATTCGCCCATCTTCTGCATCTTTCACATGACCCTCTTGTTCCGAACTTTCTGGACTGGTTTCTTTTGGCCCTGTAGTCCTTTCCTCCATTCCTTGGTGCATGGAGGTGGTTTGATCTAGCAGTAAATCTGAGTTTTCACCAGTACCCGTGTTGCAACTACCTTTGTGTGTTGAGTCTGAAACAGGGGAAGGAGTGTTAGAGAGCTCAGCAGCACTCTCTCCTTCCTCTTGTCCTCCAGGATCTCTTGGAGTTTGTGTCGTGGAAGGTTTCTCCTCCACTTCCGCAGCTTCCCCCAGTGTGCACTGAGTCTGCGTGAGAATGCGGGGCCTGAGCGGTGACTGCGGCCTAACTGGTGTGCTCAAAGCGGGGCCTGTATAAGATGGAACTGGAACTGGTGAAGACAGCAGTGGTTTGGAGGCAGAAAGCTGCTGTCTTTGCCTCTCTTCAATCACATGCTGCTTGACTCTGCGCTCCAGCAGGCCGTCCAGCTTGGAGGTCTTCACCTTCTTGTAGGCGATGCGGGTAAGGAAGCCCTTGCAGACATCTACAACATCGTAGTTGAAAGGCCGCTGAGAGTCATCTATTGGTTCCTCTTTCAGGGAAACCTTTTCTTCATGACTGTACTCTGGAGAAAAACATATAAATATTAATTAATGGTGAAGTAGGACAATTAGTAACAGGAATGATAAAGAAAAGCTGATAACTGACCATTTGAATTACAAATATACAAGTTTTTATTTTAATAAAAAGTCATCCCTTCTGTATTATGATCGCTTTTAGGTTTTTAACATTTGGTAACACAGATAAAAAAATTAAAATGTTATACCTTGCTTTTCTTTTGATGTCTCTTTCAGATCCACTTCCATATTTGCAGGAAACTCCTCTGCAGACGACGACTCTGTCTTAGTCTCTTTGTCATTCAGTTCTTCCTTTGTTTCCTCCACCTTCTCTGTGGGGTCCACCTCTTCAGCAAGTGGCTTAGAGAGACATGTGAAGTTTTGATCTTTTGCTTCACTGCTTACAGCAGCACTGTCCTGAGTCTCTGGTGCGATTATACTGGGCCGTCGACTCAAGTCCAGCAGAGAACATTTCTTGCCTAATTTAGCATCTTTAGAAAAACAAAAGTAGAGTAAAGCATTATTCTCAAAATAGTATTAAAAAAAAAAACAAGTGCATGGGTACCTAGCAGCAGAATCCATTTATAATTGAATTACAAAACCTTTGAAATTATTAACAGAACTGCAAATATGACAAATCACAAACAAGAAAAGCAAAATTTCAAGAGATCTTTTCTTGGCTACTCTCAAAATGACTAAAAACTTTAAGTTTCGACATTCCTGACAACATTTGATTCCCTGTAAAAAAAAAAACCATAACATCCTAAATAACTCTTACAATTAAAGACATCGATATAGAAATTTCAGCCAGATTACACCATTAATGTTATCATTATGAGAACCAAATATTGAACAACGGACTTTAAAAAGAAAAAAATCTAAAAGAGTGGACCTTCCAGTTCTTTGCGGTAGTTGGCGTTAGTGTTGCCAGGAAGCTTGGGTACAAAGCGTGGTACGTAGGTCTTACTGATCCAACTCCAGCCTCCATAACCTGTAACACGATACTCCTCTCCTTTCTGCTTCCACACCTGTATTTGGGACAAGAGGTTTGGGAATAAACACACACACACAAAAAGAAGATTACACACAGTAACAGAGAATATTAACAAAAGTCTTGGTATAAAAATTGCTTTCACAAAATGTCTAAATGTTCATTTGCATACTGACTGATAAAAGATTTCACAGAATCTCGATGTTGTTCAATGAGACAATTTTTGTTAAAAAAAAGTTGAATGCTTAAAAAAGATTTAACAATATCAATACTAAAAGTCATCGCTGAAATTTCCTAAACGAGCTGAACGTTTTGATGCCTAAATCAATGAAATAGATTAAAATTTGTGGAAGAGGCTCACAGCAGCCTTGTTGTATCAAGGAGCTCATGATTGTCAACATGTACAGTTAATGACTCATTTTCAAATAATTTCACTTTTTTGTAGATATAATCAATTATTACTACCTCCATCTTATTACCTAATGTATAAACCAAGTTATGAATGTTGTTTTAATAATAATCTAGTTTCATGTACATCAGGATTAATGAGATATGAGTGTTTAAAGTCAGTGTCCAAGTTAACATTGCATGCTAAGCTTTAAATGTATTACTTAAAATAAGTTCTAATCTGTGGTACAGTAAACATGTTAAGAGAATTGTTGGAAAAGTTATATAAAAAAATACTTACCTGGTGCTTGATTGGAAATGTGTATTTGACCCAGGTTGCTTGTTGCATCGTCTCCTCATCTTCCAGCTTCTTTTCTCGCTTCTTCACTTTCTCTTTCTCTTCACGCTCCATTGATGTCATGCGATTTAACCTAAAAGTAAAAAAAAAAACTCATTAAAAGGTAAATTAAAAATAATCTCTTAAAACAGTGAGACAAAATGTTTGATAGTTTTACATAAAAACAAACATAAGAGAATTAATTGTCGGATAATCTCTGAAATTTTCTCCTCAAGAGCTGCAAACAAGCTCGTTAAGAAAGTGCAAATACTTACGAGACCACCACTTCAAATAATGATTTTTTTTTGTTTTCATTTAATCTTAAAACAGCCAAAAGAAACCAATTTGCAGCCTTTTCAAACAAGTTTAAGAAAAAATGTTTCCACTTGCTTTCTTTGATGGTTAAAATGTACAAATACGCAGAAATCCTGACTCGAACCTTGTAAAAACTTGGACAATCACCTCTTTACAAAGGCTTTGAGGTGCTGAAGCAGTAGTAGTGGCAGAGGGGGGTGGTTCTGCATAGGTTGTCGACCTGCAGTCCAAATATTTAGGCCGACATCTAGGGTGGGCTTTTAGAGCTGATCTGGTTGCGAACATCTCAGTCCATTAAACTGAGCACATTATAGACCTGCACTGAACGCTGGATGAGGCTGGATGAGGTCAGAAGTGTCTGAAGGTTGTATTTTTTAACTGTAAAACACGTGTCGTACAATAAGAATGGAACTTGGTTATCTAGAATTTTGCTAATAAAGTTTATTTAGTTTGAGAGTCATTTTCACAAGAGCTAGAAACGTATGAAATAAAATATTTGTGTGTCGATAACGGTATCATATTTTCTACAAAAGCTGAGTTGTAATTTTTTTTCTTTCAAAACTTGTTTATCACATTTTAAAAGTTTAATACGCATATAATTTGTATACAGTAGTTCCTCGATGCTTCGCAGTTCGACTTTTACGGACTCACTCTGTTGCGGTTTTTCGAAGTACAGTACTGCAAGATTGTACATGACAAAAAATAAAAGTATAAAAAGCACCGCCATTTTGTAGTTTTCTCTCAATAGGTCTACACTGTTTCTCCAGTCGAAAGGACTACATTACCCGGAAGCCAAAGTTGCTTTCTGCTGGAGGGAAAGTTTTGATCCAATAGGAAAAAGTTTGGTCTTTAGGCCTGTCACGATAATAAATTTTGCTGGGCGATTAATTGTCTCAGAAATTATTGCGATAAACAATAATATCGCTTGAAATTTGACAATAATTAGTAATAATTGTCAAATTTAAGAAGACATGTTTAATTTGTTTTGCATGTAGTACCTTTTCTCGACCACTGGATGGCAGTATAATATTGTTTGAACCGAAAGATGGATAGTGAGGGAATGAGCAGCGTGTCTTTAAGAAAAATGGGAGGAAAGCCCCTTGACGTGACATGGGCTGTCTCTCTTCAGTTCTCAAAATGGCAGATGCTCGGTGTGGTTTGAGCTCTTTAGCATAGCATTTTTCACACAAAGCTTTTAATTAAAAAAATCTGAAACAAGTTCTCAGCTTATTTTTGCAGAAAAAACCTTTTTACACGAAGGCACGGGTTTCACCCATGAATTTTGGAGCTTCGACAAGACGGAGGTTTTTTCCCCAAGGTCGGCTTGTTAGCTTAGCTCGCAGCTTAGCTTCTCAGCTTAGCTGCTTTTAATGATCCAAAAACACAATTTTGGACGGTTAAAATGGATCTTAAAGAAAAAAGAGAAAGGGAGGGGTCAGAGAAGAGCACCGGAGTTGAGCTTTTTGTCATCCAGTGTCTTCAGTAGAAAGAGAGAGACACGAAGAAACGATAAAGCAGATAAATGAAAATGAGGTCGATAATTTTCATTTATCATGCGATTAACCGACTTAATGTTTATCGTGACAGGCCTATCAGTCCTTACAGTATTCATAGTGACTTCAGTGCTCAGTGAATGCAGAGAGCCAATCAGAACCGGACCTGAACCGGACAAAAGCTGGGTAGGTCTGCAGAACCGGAAATGAGCTGGACGTGAACAGAGCTGTGTGTTCTGCAGAGCTGGTGAGTAAAAAGGCATTACAGTACTGTACTACTCACTCAACTTATAATTTTAAGTTGAGTGAATAAACATGATCAGGTTATCTTGATTAATAAACTCTTGCCAAATAAACTTTTGCTTTAGTTTATTTGATTTATTATTTGACTGAATTGTTTTGGTACGTTGTTTCAACTCAGAAATCTATGCCATTTCTTCTTTGCAGATGTTCACTTATTGAGTGTGGGGTGTGTGTCCAAAACATAACAGTGCAGGACTTTATCTACCTTGTATGACCCAGTGAGTCTTTCCAGACAGGCAGCAGAGCCACAGGTTTGATGGCACACTCCAGGATGGCCAAAGCCAGAGCAAATTCTCGAGCCTTACTGCACATCTGAACAGCTTTGATCCAATTGGTCCTACAAAAACAAACAAACCAAAAAAACCAACACATTTTTCATCTACATTTAGTTTTAAGCCTTCAAACTGGTCAAATTTTACACCCTAATTCTCTCTTAACTATATTTATACCTGTGTGAGGCCCAGTTAGGGTGCATGAATGGTGCTGGGACATTGTTCTCAAGCTGGATGATGGTGAGTCTCAATGTGGAGATGGTCAGAACCTTAGAGCCGTGAATAGACCCGTTCCATTTAAAATCCCCCGCTGTTGTCATGCAAAACTTGTGGGAGAGGTGTCGCCTCTTGTCATGGTCCTGGAAAACAGAAAGAATGAAGATTTTAGATAAAAATCAGATTTAACCATCTAAAATAAATAAAGTTATTCATCGGTTTCTCTATACTAAATATTAATTGGTTAAGAGCATTTCAAAACTGCTACACATAAAAGTTCAAGCCTGTCGAGACAAGTTTGAATGATTTCCGAGATTAAAAATAACTTTGTTCATCTTTTTGAATGTCTTGACAAAAAAAACGGTAAAACAAACCCTGGATTGACTTGGAGAACACGTAAAAGCCTTGACTCTTGGCTACAGAGCAACACAGGGTGTATTTTGTGACACGTGATGAAGTGATAATTATTAAATCCAGCTACTTGCCTCTCTGTGCTGGTGCTTGTTGAGGGCCAGAAGATTGGAGCTGAACTGGTTATAGTAGACGCGATACTTGCCCTCCTGACCAAGTTTGAAGTACTGGCTGAGGGTTCCCTTCATCACCACCTCTTTGCTGCTGCGTGTGCTTACCCGGGTGATGTCGCCTTGTGCATTTACTACCAGTACCTACAAAATTACATAAATACATCTGAACTCCATGCTGAATGAAATCTGAATGCAATTTCTTTAATAACTCTGATTTACAAATGAGCTGTAATTATTACTTTAGGATCATTCATCCAAAATTTTCAGTCTATATCACAAGAAGCTCTATGTTTTTCCCCATACATCTGGAGGAGAATAATGTTTTTTCTAACCCTCACCTCTTTGCCCTCCTTGAAGCCCCTGTTGGCTTCATGAACAGCAGCTGCAACCTGTTGATTTTTCAGCTGACTCAGCTTGCTGTCTGGATTCCTCAGTCGGGTCACCATTCGAGTGGACGAAGACTTCTTACTGCTGAGATTTGCTGCGTCCCCATTGGTTGAATCTTTACTATCCCCTAAAAGTGCAACAGTCAAAGAAAAGGAGTCAAAGAAACAGTTTTAAAAAGTAGGTTTTGACTTAGTAGATGTGTATGTTGTTTTTACAGTTATAAAAATTAAAAGAAACCATGGACCTGCGTCATCAAGGCTTGCCATAGAGGACTGAGAGGACCTGTCTGCTAAGTCTGGGGGTTCGGGAACTCTGGGTGGGACACCGGTCCCTAAGCTGCTGTTACTGTTCTCCTCAGAGGGATGAGTCAGGGTGGGGATGACATCTCCATAAACAGGGACGGAAACTGACGATGCGTTTTCTGCCAAACATTTAGAAAATTAACATTAACACTTTTGTTGATTAGATAAAGGTTTGCAGAATTGCTTTAATTAGTTAGACATTTGAGCACAGAGCAAAATGACTAAATGATGAAACCATATCAAAAGTAATCAACACATAAAAAGTAAAACCTGGTGCCATGGGAGAAAAAGGAAAAATAAAACCACTTCCTTGCAAGTGTAATTAAAAATACTATGGCTGTAGCTCCCTCTGCTGGTAAATCACAAGTAATGCAATCAACAAATAGGTCATTTTACAGCAACTATGAGCAAAAAAAAAAAAGATTGTGCACATTACTGAACACAAAAAATAAATGAGAAAATCAATGTTTTTTAAAAAGACAAATCAAGTGGGCAACATTCACTGCCTGGTCAATAAAAAAGTCGCCACCAAAAAAAGGTAACGCTAATATTTCGTTGGACCGCCTTTAGCTTTGATTACAGCAGCATTCACTGTGGCATTGTTTCGATAAGCTTCTGCAATGTCACAAGATCTATTTCCATCCAGTGTTGCATTAATTTTTCACCAAGATCTTGCATTGATGACTAGGCACTAGGCATGATGGGTGCATCACTTCACCTTCACATTACACAAATTTTCAGAAATAACAATTTTAAAACTTAAACAACAGATGAACTGTGAGCCACTTACAAAAAACATAAGACTGAGAAAAAAGCAGCCATTTCTGTATACAGCAGATTAATCACCCAGTTTAGAAAACTTACAGATGATTGCAGCAAAAAGCAATTTCAAAATGGTTATTGTGTGTACTTTTACTCATAAACGTACCTTCGGCTTTGTTAGACACCTCCACGCTGGTACATCCTTCTGACCGGACCTCCACAGTGGACGTTACGGGCTTTGGCATCGCAGTGGCCAGACCAGAGCTGACAGAGGAGGATTGTGTTGGAAGAGAGGCTGATGGGGGAACAGGTTCATCTGGGATGCTGCCGCCTTCCAGGCCAGTGGAGGAAGCTTCAGTAACAATAAAACAGCAGTCAGAGCGAATGTTGTTCGTAATCAGTCATGTAGTTTGGAGAAAATAAAGAACAAAGACGACGTTGGAAATAATAAAAATGCACAACATCAGATAAAATTAAAATCCCTGAATGGATTTGATCTTCTCTGGTTATTTAAAATGAACTTTTAGCTCATTTATATGAAGTTGAAACTTTAATTTTGTGCTTATACTTGACGTGGCACATATTTGGCCCTCAACTTAAAATGACGTTTTTCTTTATTTAATTTTTTTATTATTACCATTAGCCTATCAACACTTTGGCCAACGGTGTTGTTTTAAAGTACTTTATAAATAAAGTTGTATTGTATTGTATTGTAAAAGTTAAAAAATCTAGTTTTATTTATTCTTTAAATTTTTTTTTCTTCATAATTGTTAACTTGTCCTTGTGCCTCAAGGCTCTAAAGCAATATTTTATGTTTTAATGTGGTACGAATAGTTTATTTTTAAATATAAACATAATTACCTTTACTTGCAACACAATCCTTATTTTCCTGTGTGAGCTCTTCTTTGGTCTCTGGCTCTTCCTTCATCCCTCCATCCTGTTGCCCCTCGTCCTTAAGCTCCGTCTTTTCATCTTGCTTCTCCACTTCTGCCTCCTTCTCCTTTTCCATCCGCGCTTTCTGGGCCTCCTCAGCAGCTCGTCTTTTTACCTCCTCCAGCTCCTCCTCTTTCTTAGCGCGCAGTCGCTCCAGGATCTCCTCTGATTATGAAACAAGCAGAGGAGATATAATACTTGTAAGAACAGAAACCCAGAAAAAAACACAAACACACACTTTAGTTATTAACCTTTATGTTGGCGAAAATTCAAGGGAAAAAATGGCACTAAAAATGGCAAATGACACAAATCGGCTTTAATTGTCAAGACGATCATAACTGTGCATGTATTTGAGTGTTGTAAAACCTTGCTGACGTGATTTCTGTTTCATTCTCTATATGAATAAATGATTGTTGTGCTGGACTTCAAACGGAGCAATCGGAGTTTCTTTTGCGTTCTTTCAGAAAGTTTTCATTCGGTGTAACCAACTCGGATCACAAAAAAACAACTTCCATCTTTTTTTTATTTTTATTTATGTCCTAAAATGATTTTATCACTTAAAAAAACAAACAAGCACTGATTTGCAGATGAAGGTCTCTTAATATATGCGCAATCACTATCTCCTGAACTGGTGCGAAATGTTTAAAGAAGAGATTTTAAATGAAAAATAAACCAAAGCCAAAGTCACCTGAAATTATGTTTTTACAGACTTTTAATAATAATAATTATTAAATTTAAAAAGTGAGGAATTTCGGACTAAGGATGGGCGATATGGCTCAAATTAGTTGATTTTATTATTGATTTTAGTTGATTTTATCATTGATTTTAGTTGATTTTATCACTGACTTTAGTTGATTTTATCATTGATTTTAGTTGCACTCTGTAGCACTTTGAGATTTTTGTTAATGAAAAGTGTGTTACAAATTAAATTCATTATTATTATTATTAAATATTATTTATATTGTGATATTTCAGTGCGTTCTGACGATAACGATAAATTTTGTGATATAACAAAAAACTAAAAAAATCATAGTTATTCATTTGACAAAATTAACTTAACACGTTGCTTTGCAGTATTATATAAAAATTTAAAAAAACAACAAGGGTGAATTTGACTGAAATTACTTTATTTAGTAAAGTATTCAGTCTCAAAGTATAAAAATAAAAATGATCCTACTGTTATTTAGACTGAAAAAGTCTGCACAAAATATAGATAAACAAAATCTACCACAAAAACTAAAGTACAGGTGAAATTTCCAAAAATAACTAAATAAAATTAAAGCTTAAGATCTGTTGAGCATAAATGCAACATACAACAAAAAATATGAGGCCTTTTTAAATGAGCTATAACTTCCAAAACTTGACAAGGCGGTGAAGAGACGCAGCAGAGCCGCACGATGTTTGTTTTTAGCTTTTTAGCTAGCTAGTATTGCGGGCAACTAATTAGCATTACGCCAGCACCTACAGGTGGATGGGAAGGTGCGCAGTTCAGTTTGGTCGATCGGCGCGCTAGGTTCTGTTAATGGGGCGGTGCTCCCTGACGTATTAAGTCATGAAATTAGCATATCATGATATAATTTATTTTCCCGAGCCTTTTTTTTTTACCGGTATTATCATAAACGATATGATATGGCCCAGCCCTATTTCTGACAATAGTCAAAAGGCTCAACAATCCACAAAGGAAACCACTTTTTTTGTAAACTTAAACATTTGTCAATCTTTGTTGTCATTTTCATGAGACTGCTGCAGGCCTTTCTTTTTCATCTCTCATGATGTAAGATACCGAGCAATGTTCAGAACAAAAGAAAAATAAAACGTGTAAACAAAAAAAATTCTATAACTACTATTAATCTTCCAGTTTTAAAACAAGCTGTCTGTTTTAGAAGGAAGAAAAATAAAACAAATGTTCAACTCTGCTTTAAAAAAAAAAAAAGCACCTTTAACTCATCTTCACACATCTGACACTTGTTAAGCTAGTTTCCACTCATGTTGTGGTATCACCGAGTTTCCACCGCATACAACAGCTCCATGTAAACTCCAGTGTTATTTGCCTGAATGTAACAAACATTCACTTCAAAGGAAACCACATTCTATAAAAATGATGTGCTGATGATATCTACAATACACACATTTTGGTGATATCAGAACAGGAAAGATGAGAGATTAAAATACTAGGAATTGGGTCAGATTGAGACCAAAATAAGGTGATTTCTATGGCTAGGCTAACTAACTGGCAAGAAAACAGTCAGGGGTATGAGCAGCCAGCGAGCAACAACTAAATAAAATGAAAATAGAAAGGGATCAAATATAATTTATATTAAAAATCTTTATCTACTGAGGCTCAATGGGATTAACCTGTATAAATAAAGGTTGAATGAAAAGTGTCAGCAACAATTAAACTCAGTCACAGACACAATTCAGATTCCCAAGACCTATTAAATAAATAAATAAATAAAGACTGATGAGTTCTTTACCATTTGCAGCAGTAAGAAAACACTTGTTGCTGCCTCGAGCCTTGTTGGTTAGATCTTCAGTAATATCCATATGAGCGTGCACCTCATCTCTTATCTCCTCAAGGGCTGCATAAAGGTCGGCCTCCCAGTATTCCTTATCCAAGCGCTCTATCAGCTCAGCTAGCTGGACCTGGGAAAGATGGGAATTTTCAAAGCTTTAACACAAACACAACTAGAGAAATTGTATTTCCTGCAAAAATGCAGTGTGAATGCTTATTGCAGAACTTGCTGAAAAACAGCTAAAATTAGCTTCTAACATGCTAAAAAATATAGCTGAAATGGAAGAAAAATAATAAATTAGCAGAAGAAAGCAGAACAAATACACATTTGCTAAATTAGGTTTAAATAAGCAGAAATAAGCACAAAAATGAGGAAAATAAGCTAAAAAAAAAAAAAGCTGAAATTACCAAAAAGTAGCTAAAAAGGCAGAAAGCTTAAGCTACCAGAAAGAAGCGGAAAGAGATGAAATGAGCTCAAAATAAGTGGAATTAGCAGAAAAAGTTTAAATTAGCAACAACAACAAAAAAACAGCTAAATGGTAGCTGAAATTGCACAAAAGCTGAAACTTGCAGAAATAAACTGAAAGGAGCATAACAAGCTGAAATTGGTAAAAAGAAGTTAGAAGAAGCACAAAAATGCTGTTAGCAGAAAGAATCTGAAAGGAGCGCAAAACAGCTGAAAAACAGCAGAAATGAGCTGAAAGCAGCTGAAAACAAGATTAAATTTGCACAATGAAGCTGAACTGGAACAAAATGTGAAAGGAGCAGGAAAAGGCTGTAAACAGATCTAAACATTTGAAGGATGTAAAATTAGCTCAATTAATTTTCTATGAGGGGAAAAAAATGGCAGAAAAGGCTAAATATTTCAAAAAGCTAAAGTTGCACAAATACCAAAAGTCATAGCAGGATTGTCCTGAAAGAACTGAACGAAGAAGTGAACATTTTGATTTATGATTTGTTGAAAAAGCTTAAAAACTGCAGAATAAGAATTGCACAGAAAACATACAGAATAGGGATAGTAACAGACAGGAATCATAAATATAAACAGGAAAACAATAGTGTGAATGCTTAATAAGCATTCACACTATTGTTTCACTGTTATAACTAGTCCACCAAAAAATCTCAGCAAGAGCAAAAACTAGACCCATTTTTACCTTGGCACTGTAGTACCAGATGGTTTTATCCTCCTGTTCACCTTCCTCTTCACTGTAGGTGAGAAAAAATAAAATAGAGATAAACAAGAAGGATGGAGCAAACTAAACTAAAACGAGCATCTAAAATTAGAAAATGCTTTCTTATTCATTGCCTGCTTATATTATAATGCTTATTAATTATATGTTATTGTGTAGTTGTACGGAGGTTAATAAATAAGTTTACGTACATATTTGTTATTCTAACACCAAATCTTAACAAGTCCTAAGAAGTCAAAAAGTAAGGGTTTGTTTTTGAGGCTACTTTGATGCTAAATTCCAAGAAAAAGTGACCTCCTTTATTTAGTTTGCATCGTATGTAGTATTTCACCACTGGATGTCACAACAGGACAAGTTGGTTCAACTTCAACAGGTCTTTGCAACTGTATTTTAAAAGGAGCCGCAGATGCGTCAAACTAAAAATAATTGTGTAAAGCACTAGGGAAATTGTGCTTCTGGAAAGTCGTGCCGTCATGCAGGTTAATAGATTCTTGTCATGTTCGGTAAAACATTAAATGCATTTAAAATTAACAAAGAAAGTAATTTTTGAGCCTCATTTTGAAAAGGGTTTCATTGTGGGAGTAAGTTTCTGGGGTAAAAAAAAAAATAAAAAATGGCTGTACGTCTTAAATTGACCAAAAAAACACATGAAAGTGCAGGATGCAATCATTCTGTGTTAGAATAAACTGGGTCCCCATTTCCACTTAACTGTCAAGCAAGTCTGAGGCAAGATTTTAAAACGCTAAAAGGGGAGGGCTTTTTTTCTGTTTACCAGTTTGAAGAAAATGGTCTAAGCTGCAATGTGCCTCAATTAATTGACAATACTGGCGAGCTATGTCTGCTTTTCTTTTAACTCGTCACCTAACCAAAGTTATTTCAAGCTCAGTCATATCCACCACATGGCAGCAGCATTATCCTGCAGGAGCAACCTCCAGTCAAGACAGCAGTGGGTTCTAAATAAATAAATAAATAAATAAATAAATAAGACTTCTAGTCAAATTAAAGTCATGATGCTATGGTACCAAGGCCGTTAGGCAGCAATGTAGGAGGGCGGAGCGCAAATGGAGGAAAGACAGGCTGCAGGTCTCTTTTCAAATACTTATGTTGGCACCGTTATCAGAAAGCAGAAAAGCTGCTAAATCCAAATACTTTTCTGATATCATAACCTCAAACTCTCACAACCCACGTGTCCTCTTCTCCACCCTAAACTCTGTTCTTCACCTCACTGAACTATCACCTCTGGAAGCCTCGACTGAGCTGTGCGAGAACTTCCTACGTTTCTTTTTGGACAAAATTGCGACCAACAGGGCTCTCATTTCCCCTCCAACTCATGACCCATCCATCCCACCTGAATCTGTAGCTCCTTTTGACCATTTTGAACCCATCACTCTATCTTCTCTAGAGCAGGTCATGTGCAGCTTGAAACCTTCTGGTTCCCCCTTTGATGTGGTCCCTCCTCGACTACTAAAGGAGGTTTTTCCAACTCTAGGTCCGTCCATTCTTGATATAGTAAACATTAGTTTATCCACTGGCGTGGTGCCAAAAACCTTTAAACATGCTGCTGTCCAGCCTCTCCTAAAAAAAACAAACCTTGACTCCTCAGTCATTTCCAACTACCGGCCTGTCTCCAAACTCCCATTTGTTTCTAAAATACTGGAGAAAACAGTTGAGTCCCAGTTGAAGTGCTTCCTGAAGGATCACGCCATCTTAGAGCTTTTCCAATCTGGCTTTAAACCTCTCCATAGCACTGAAACTGCCCTATTGAAGGTTTTTAATGACATCTTCAGATCTACAGATACTGGTGATTCTGTGCTGCTTGTCCTGTTGGACCTCACAGCCGCCTTTGACACAATCGACCATGAGCTCCTCATTGCTAGGTTGGAGCAGTGGGTGGGCATAACAGGGTCATCCTTCAATTTGTTCAGATCCTACCTCACTGACAGATCCTTTTGTGTCTCCATCAAGGATTTTAGTTCTGCAGCGACAGAGCTTAAATGGGGGGTTCCGCAGGGGTCCATCCTGGGTCCCCTCCTATTCTCTCTATACCTGCTGCCACTTGGTGCTATTTTCCGGAAACACAACATGCCCTTCCACTTCTACGCCGACGACTGTCAAATTTACTTCCCCCTAAGACACAATGGTACATGCTCTATTCAACCTCTGCTCAACTGCCTGGCTGACATCAGAGACTGGATGGCTTTAAACTTCTTAAGTTTCAATGAAAAGAAGTCTGAAGTCATGTTGTTCCCTCCCAATGACACAATCACAAACCACTGCATCCACCTTTTCACTCTAACCCTGTCAGAAAAACAAAGAGTCACAAATCTGGGAGTGATAATGGACCCTTCCCTGAAACTTAACAATCATGTAAACATGATTGTTAAATCATGTTTCTTCCAACTGAGGCGGCTGTCTAAACTGAAGTCCATATTGTCCAAAAATAACCTGGAACCAGTAATACATGCATTCATTACATCTAGGCTTAATTACTGCAATTCACTCCTGTTTGGTATCAGTCAGACCTCCATTGCACGACTACAACTGGTCCAGAATGCAGCAGCCCGATTTTTAACCAGTACAGGCAAAAGAGAGCACATTACTCCAGTTTTGGCCTCCCTGCACTGGCTACCAGTTCACCTTCGAATCCAGTTCAAAATACTCCTGTATGTCTACAAATCGCTGAACAGTTTCGCACCCCCCTATCTCTCTGTTCTGTTACAACCGTATGTCCCACCACGTTCCCTGAGGTCAGCGGACCAGTTGCTCCTCACAGTTCCAGGAACTCTTCTTAAGCGCAGAGGTGACAGGGCCTTCTCTGTAGCAGGACCAAGACTTTGGAACGAGTTACCTCTGCTTGTCAGACTGGCCCCCTCCCTCTCGGTTTTCAAATCCCGTTTAAAAACTCACTACTATTCAGTAGCTTTCAACACCAGAGGATCTGTGTTTTGAACCTGTACACTCCACACTGGTTTGTCGTCATATTTATTATCTGCATCGTTTTTATGTTTATATTTTTGATTTACTTTATTTTGTATTTTGCTTCGTGTGTTGTCTGTTGTTCTGTCTGTACAGCACTTTGGTTGGCCTTATAGCTGTTTTAAGTGCTCTATAAATAAAATGGTATGGTATGGTTGATCAGTGTAGGTGTCCACTAGGCAGTAAAGCTTCTTCAGTCTTAGGGCAAAGAATGAGCGGATTTATTCCTAAACTTTTGCAGCGTGTCAGTAACACACTTGTCATTGCAGACTGCTGATTAACTGTTTAAATCTGGGATGCTATATTCATATACACATCAACCACAAATGAAGAAAAAGTCCCAGTAATCGTCATATTTTGAGCCGTAGTTTCATCTTTACACATAAATGTAGAGATGTGCTTACAACCTGTGGAAATGTATAGTAAAAAAAATCATGATTTTGAAATTTAATGACCACAAAGTGCAACATATTTTCTTTTTGTAGAAGCTGCAGAACAGACACGGTAGTATGATGTATTATAATTAATGCCTTCCATGTGCATTGCATGTACACAACACACAAAAGCCTTTTCTTTACACATTAGTTGTACATGTGATGGAATTGAGACCTGTCTAGGGTGTACCCCGCCTCTCACACAGTGACTTCTGGAGATAAGACTCCAGCTCCCTGCAACCCGGAAAGGAGAAGTGGGCAAAGAAAATAAATGAATGAATGAATTGGTCAATGTTGCTGATGGTCAAACTGATTTAAAAACTATGAAAGGATGCTGCTTGTTTGGTTCATTCAAGAGTAAATCCAAACCAAAACCAAATCTGCAGGAGGCTGAAGGAAGAGAAGGAGTGCGTCTCCAAGGTAACGGGGCATTATGTGATGAACAAGAGAAACAAAACAATCACAAATAGCTCTACAGGCACCATATGTGGTATATAACAAGGTTACAAACCACTTCTAATCTGTAAAGTAGCTGCACTGAAATAAATGCCCTTCTGGAGACCCTGACCTAAACTCCAGTGCCATGCCACTCTTGTAACCATATGCTTCCTCTACTCTTAATATATACAGCATATAACATCACAAAACCTAACAACAGCTGGTGTCATGATATTAACTAATGTTTTGACGAATAAGGCAGCACGGTGGCGCAACTAGTAGAGCTGCTGCCCCTCAGCGAGCAGGTCCTTGGTTCAAACCCCGGTCCAGGGGCCTTCTGGGTGGAGTTTGCATGTTCTCTCCGTGCATGCGTGGGTTTTCTCCGGGTACTCCGGTTTCCTCCCACAGACCAAAAACATGCATGTTAGGCTAATCAGTAACTCTAAATTGTACCTAGGTGTGAGAGTGAATGGTTGTTTGTCTCTATGTGTCCCTGTGATGGACTTGCGACCCATCCAGGGTGTACCCCGCCCCTCGCACAGTGATTGCTGGACATGGGCACCAGCGACCCCCGTGACCCAAAATGGAATAAGCGGGTAAAGATAATGGATGGATGGATGGATGGATGGATGGATGGATGGATGGATGGATGGATGGATGGATGGATGGATGGATGGATGGATGGATGGATGGATGGATGGATA